AAACCTATAAATGTAGGCTCATAGATCTATTTCCCCATCCTCGTATAAATGTATTTGCATATGTACATGTCTTAAGTAATCATTTTGAGGGAAAACATTTGAGTTTTCCATCTCTGACAAGTTTTTGCCTCATACAGTGTCTGACTTTCATGGGTGTGTGGGTCCAAAGAGAGCTCATCTTGTATGTAGCCTGCCCTAATGGACAAGCAAAGGATAAGAAGCACGGGCACATTATTCCAATCCACTCCCTGCTTTAGGGGCCGAGAAGTCCTCACGCTCGCCTTTTCTGTTGCTCTGTAGACCAGATGCTGCTAAGAGTCCTGCTCCCCATGGGCTTCTGCGCCGCCCTCCTTGTGGTCATTTTCTACATGAAGATCCAGTGGTAAGCATGTCCAGTGGTCAGCATGTGCAGTCCAGTGGTCAGCATGTCCAGTGGTCAGCATGTGCAGTCCAGTGGTCAGCATGTCCAGTGGTCAGCATGTCCAATGGTCAGCATGTCCAGTGGTTAGCATGTCCAGTGGTAAGCATGTGCGGAGGATTTTAGTTGGCCAACGAGTCAGAGCACAATCTAGACATGAGGTGAAGGATATACAAATGACATCGACTACTCTGGAAAGAGGGGGATAAGAACGTAAAAGGATCCAGGGTTAGTTGATAGAGCATATGATTCATTTCAGAAGGCGGCTTTCCGGGGAGCTACCGCAGGAAAAGAATCACCGTGAAAAGGAAAAGTAACCACGATTATGAGTGATTGTAGCTCCTGAGAACTCAGATATTTATATGCCACTCATCACGTGTGTAAGGAGACTCCGTGGCGCAGCAGGGCCCTGGTGGTTTGTGGATACGCCTTGGGTTTAACTGTGGGTTTAGTAGTTCAAAACGAGGCTTTCTACTCCCGTAAAGAGTTACAGTCTCGGAAACCCACAAGGGCAGTTGTCTCTCCTATAGACTTCGCTATGAGTCCTTTGGCAGTGAGTCTGCGTGTGGAGTAGTGGCCCAGTGGATTACGCTATTAGACTGCTAGCCAGGAGGTCAGGAGTTCAAATCCTCCAGCCACTCCAAGGGAGAACGGTGAGGCAATCTGCTTCCACAAAGACTCACAGCCTCAGAATCCACCCTGGGCAGTTCTAGTCCAATCCTACAGGGTTACTGTGGATGGGAAGCAAGTGGAGGGCCGCAGGCTGATTATATGTGAGATAGCATTCTAAGAGCTTTCCTGATAATAGCTCATTCCGGCCACTCAAGAGCATGCTAAGTATCATCATGATTTCCTTTCTGAGGAAATCAAAGCGTGGGACAGTTAAGTAACTTGCTCAAAGTCACGCAGTACGTAAGTGATGGGAAGAAAGGCTTTAAACTCAGGAATCTGTCTCCAGAATGCTGGCTGTCAACTGCATTGTGAAATTCAGTTCGATTTTCACCACTTTGCTAGGATGAAGCAGCGCTGTTATCCTGACATTCCCGACCCTTACAAGAGCAGTATCCTGTCACTCATAAAATCGAAGGTAAGTACTCAGTTTGGGTTTTATTTTTCTTCTCTCAGGAGAAATATTCCTTGGTGGCTCAGCACCACCTAGTGTTAACTTCTGACCAAGCGGAACCATGAACCACACTGAAGCTTTAAACGCGCACACTTAGATGGCCCCATTTATGTGTGTGCGAGCAGTCACGTTTTCCCCGTGTCCTTTACAGCAGAGCAGTAACCTGACACTACTGAGCCCCCAGGACTGCACTCCAGACGCAATTGAGGTTGTCCACAAGCTGGAAGGGAGCAAGACACAGCTCACACAGAAGTCGGTCCCCAAGACGGAGCTCCCCCTGTCTGCGTCCCCCCAACTGGCAGATCAGAGTCCCTCAGGTGGAAGAGCCTGCATCTGTTTTGAGAACTTAACCTATAACCAGCAAGTGCCTGAGCCCTGTTCTTGTGGCCATAGCCCAGTGCCACCTACCACCCAAGCCCATCCGCTGGGACTATTCAGCTCACTTGAAAATATTTGGAAGGACTACATGACGTCCCTGGGTGAAGTCCCAGCCGGAGAAACTGGCGTGAATTACGTGTCCCAACTGACTTCTCCTGTGTCTGGGGGCAAAGACGGTCTCCCCATTGATCCACTAGTAGTTGAACAGTGTTCAGAGTATAAAATACAAATGGTAGTCCCTCTGGGTGCCCCCTCATCTCCCCACACTGAAGATCGCAGTCTCTCCTCCAGTGCCCCTTAAATCACAGTGAATACTTGCTGACCGCTGTAAGGCCGCAAGGAGACCTTCCTTGGTAATCCCAGTGAGCTGGTGCCATCTGCTGGTCTGCTTGATCTTGTTCTTAGGCGCCGTTGAGTCTGGCTTATAGGCAATCACTAAAGCACTCAATCCTGGAAACTCTATTATGGGGGCTGTTCTAAACTGTCCTCCGGGGCTGCTGTTAGGATCCCCTTGATGGTGGTGGAGTGTGTGTGTGTGTTTTACCATCCCGGTTGCATTTAAAGGCCAGAGCCATGGTCCCCGGTAGCCTTCTCAAGCTTGCTCTCCAAATAGTGGGGCCACGTGAAGATACAGACTCTGCTGCTGTTTGTCCATGGCTCACCCTGTAACAGGCCATGGACTATTGGACTAGGGACAGGCATCAACCACTCCAACCTAGTCCCTTGGACTAGGGACAGGCATCAACCACTCCACAGACTCCACTCCCCACCGTACTGTACAGGGGCGTGGTGGTCCTAAAAGCTCCGGTTTTCATAAGGAGAATCTCCATTCCATCCTCGTGTTGTCATTGTTAACTGCCATCGAGCAAGCTGGTCAAGCCATGGCCACCCCAAGCACGGCAGGACCACGGGGCTGTGATCTCCGGTATTTTCACTGCTTAATTTTTCAGAAGTTAGTCATCAGGCCTTTCCCCCTTGCCAGCCTCAGTCTGGAATCTCTGCTGGAACCTACTTAGCCTCCACGGACAGCTGGCTGGTGCGTGTGCAGGAAACGCATTGACCTGAAATGGCACCGGCTTTCCCAGGGGGGAGGTTGGCCACCACTGCCCCTTATTAAATCCCACTTCTACATATAATATTTTAAGAGTAAAGGGATTGGTATGATGGTTTTAAATGGGCCATAGAACGGGTATTAGCCCAAAAATCTTACCATAGTGAATGATGGGGGGGAGTGCGGAGTGGAGATCCAAAGCCCATTAGTAGGCCACTGGAGATCCCCTTGCAGAGGGGTCTCGGGGAGGAGATGAGCCAGTCAGGGTGCGATGTAACAATGATGAGAAATACAACTTTCCTCTAGTTCCTAAATGTTTCCCTCCTGCTCCCACTACCATGACTCGAATTCGATCTTGCAAGTCTGGCTAGACCAGAGGAGGTACACTGGTACAGATAGGAACTGAAAATACAGGGAATCCAGGACGGATGAGCCCTATAGGACCAGTGGTGTGAGTGGCAAAACAGGGAGGGTAAAGGGAGAATGGGTAGGAAAGAGGGAACCGATTACAGTGAACCCTCGCCACTTCGCGCTTCGACTTCCGTGGCTTTACTCTATCGCGGTTTTTGTGTTAACAACGCATGCTCTGTCATTACTGCCACTGATTGGCTCATACTGTACACGCTTGATGCCATAAATAATAAATGATAATTGTAACGTCCAAAAAAAAAAAAGAACGGGTATTAGTTGGTCCTAAATGATCAATGCCATTAATTCTGAGCATCTCTAATGAAAAAGTCATCTCTCTCTCTCTCAAATGCCAGGCTCCTGGTTATCAAGTCAATTGACCTTTAGAGACCCTGTAAGGCAGGGTCTTACCTGTAAGACAGGGTAGAACTGCCCCTGTGGGTTTCCGAGATTATCAATCTTTATGGAAGTAGAAAGTCTCCTTTCTTTTGAGGAGTGGGTGATGGTTTTCGATCTGATGAGCTTGCAGTTAGCAACACCACGTGTACAGAACACTCTATGCCACAGGGCTCCTTGAAAGAGTCTTCATTAATGTTTGCAACTGAAGCAGACTTTTAGTCTGCAAGTGACAAGGGGGTGCTCACTGATGTCATAAAACCAATGCAGTGGGGAATAGGGCGCAGACCCCATCTAATAGCTAAGGTGTGTCTGTGATTGGGTAAGATGCCAGCAATTTGTACCACAGTGAATTAACTGGATTGGTAGGGAACTCTTGACTTGCTATCAGAACGATCACGCTCCTCCTTCCTAGACACCAGTCTTCTACCATCATTTTTGATGACTGCCCCAGAATAGGTCAAATATTTCAGCTAGTAATGCCATTTCTCCTGGTGAGTCCTCAACTTACCCAGAATTGTGTAGCATCAAGCTGCTTTCACTCAGCATCCTATGAACTCTGCAGTAGATTGTCTGGGTCAAGATTAACACCCCCGTTGTCTCATTTATTTTCCTATTATGCTAAAATAACAAAATAAGGCCTCGTGGTTAGACATCATTTAGCTGTAACTGTAGAGCTGGTTATATGAAGGGGGAAGTATATTTGGACTTGTGGGTAGCCTTATCCCCTACAACAGTATTTGCAAAGCACCTTGCATGTAACAGATGTGTGATCCGGATCAATTCCTTTCTCTTCCCTCCACCTGGCAAATCCTAATGTCCACCATAGTTGGGAACCAGCATGAATAAGGTGGGATGGCCGCTTTCAGAGTGGTGGCAATCACTCTGCCTATGCGTGTGCCTTTGGGACCAAATGCCTTATGTTACGGAGAAAGAACGGGCAACATCCACATCCTCCTCAAAACCAACTGGCCTAACGAATCCTATTGCTATCACGTGGACTCCAACCCAGAGCGATGCTACACGATACAGTGGGACTGGCCCCTAAAGGTCTCCAGGGCTGCAAATCTTGACGGAAGCAGACTTCCGTATCTTGCTCCCATCGAGTGGCTGGTTGAGTTCAAATCGCCAGCCTTCTGATGGGGAGCTGAGCACTTAACCAGCGCACCACCAGGGCTTCTTATTAGCTTAAATTGACCTAAACTGTGTTTCTGTTTAGGGTCCAGCTTTCCCCCTACACACATCTAAGCCTTTTGGCTGATTAAGATGCTGTGCGCTTTCCGTGTCTAAATGAGTACATTTGACTAGTTGAATAGCCAGTCTGAAGCAGCCTTTGGGCCAGTAGTCAGCAATTACCCTATTTATATTCCTTTTTTAGAGCTGCATTTTTTCATTTAAAAATGAAATGCCAGTGATGGGGATGAGATTTGTAAATAATTATCTTTTAAAAATATTGCACAAAAACCTCAAGTCACGTTTTGCTTGTTGCCAAGCTATAATAAAAGTTGCTAATAAGTCTTCCTACAATCCTGATGCCAAGTTCATTTTGGTATATCCCAGCTTCTTGGATTATTTGCTCAGCGTAAAGATTAAGCAAGTTGAAAGGACACAGCCCTAGCACACTTCTTTCCGGATTCTAAACCACATTGTATTCCTTTGGTCTGTTAAAACAATTGCCTCTTGGACTGTGTTCAGGTTCTGAATGAGCACAATTAAATGTTCTGGAACTCTGATTCTTCTCAAGGCTATCCAGTTTGCTATGAGCCACACACTAGCATAGTCAATAAATAGCATAGTCAAATAGCATAGTCAATAAAACACAAGTAAACATCTTTCTTGTATGGTCTGCTGTGGGGTTAAAGGGAAGAGGGAACCCCACAAAACATCACAGGTTCGGTAGGATTGTACAGTGATAATAAGTAGAGATTATAGTAAAGTCATAGAGAGCATGAGAGTTAAAGGATGGAGTCAAGTAATGGAGTCAGACGCAATTCATGGTAGCATTGCTCACCTAAGCCCCGCTTGATGGTCCTCGTGGAGGGGGCTTAGCCGTCAGAGAAGCAGCAGCTGCCTCGTCCTCCTTAGCCACCTTCTCCAGCCACCCTCCCGAGAACCTGGGAGCCTCATTATTTATTGCTAACCACGCATCATATCACTTTAGGGGGATCTGATTACAGAGTCATACATCACAGAAAGGGGCAATACATTTCATTCATGAACAAGTTTGATCATTCTGGTGTCTCATACAATAAAACAGACAATTACTATTCTGGGAGGCATGCAAGTCCCCTGATGGCAGACAATAACCTAAGTCACAGGGAGGGGTAGCAACATAGGCAATACAATCAATAGGAGGGGGATGACCTAGGGGTGTGCCCACATTTGTTGTGGGGAAAAGTGGTCTGCTTGATCTAGACAGCTGATAATGGCTACCTAACCTCGGTCATCCTTGGGCGGGTTTGACCTCTCTGGTATCTCCTACAAGTAAACAGACAACCACTATCCTTATCAGAAGGGAGTGGGTCTTATTTAGGGTGAGTCAGACTAATAGTCCAGATGGCTGATGCTAGGGAGAAGAACCTCTGACCTACTTTCGCTGCCTAGTGAACAATCATTTTCAAGCTAAATCTGGCATATATTTTGGGGAGACAACTGAAGAGAAATCTTTCTGTTCCTCACAGTCTGCTGAGGTAGTTTACTATGCCAATCTGGCCGATAAACACGTGAGGTTAATTGAAGGATGGAGGGATAAATGGCTCGGTGAGCCTTGCCTTTCTAGTTCTCAGGTCTCTTGCTTTCTGATGGTCGGACCAGGGTGCAGCTGCCTTAGCCAGTTCCCTGCTTTAGCTGGCAAGGCTCCCTTCCTGCAGGACATCCCTGAGAAGCCGCATGGACCTACCCCTATGCAGCCCTGGGTGCTGGAGCAGCCATGTGGAGACCCGTCAGCGATGAGATGCTTACACATTCACTGACTCGGCTTTCCCCCTGCAGTCGGCATCATTGTGTCTGTTTTGTGAGATGGAGGAGGACTTTGTGGATTGGTGTTGGACATATGGGTTAATGTTGGACTTGTGGGCTTGGGCAGCACTGGGTTGGGATGTTTTCTTGATGTGCACTTAGCCTTTACATAAAACTCTTATACATGAGTTTCTGTGGATTTGTTTCTCTAAAGTACCCAGACTGATACATCTGCTTTCAGTCAAGATCCATCTGACATCAGCAGTGATATCCCTTGTGGTGTCCTCTTTGGAATCCAGCTTGAATTTCTGCTATCACCCTGTCAATATATTACTGTAACCATTGTTGAATGACACTGAGGACTTTTTATTTGTATGTGATATTAAAGATGTTTGCTAAGTTCCACATGTTGGACTTCAGGGTCATCTTTCCTTAGAAGGGGTATAAATACAGCTCTCTTCCAGACAGCTGGCTAGGCAACTGGCTTCCACATTTCTTGGTGTAATAAGTGCCTCCCCAGTGGTTCATCAGCTTATTCAAACATTTCAGTTGGTATTCCATCAATTCCTGTAGCCTTATTTTTTTTTACAATCTTCAGTGCATCTTGGGCTCCTTGTCACTGGTTCTCTATCCTACACTACCTCTTGAGATGGTGGAATGTCAACTGGTTTTGTAATAAGTGAAAGGCATACAGAACTTTGATTAAAAGAAAGACAGCCCAATCTTAAAACGAAGAGAGGACTTGAATAGATATTTCACCTGAGGAGATTTCAATGGCAACTAAACACATGGAAAAGATGCTCAATGTTATTCAAATACAAGATACCATTTTGCTCCCAGTAAAATGGCTATGATTAAAAAAAAAAAAAAAAGACAGCAGTAACCACTACCAAAACCCAAACTAACTCAGGAAATCACAAACAGGGCTGGAATATGGGCCTCTTTCCAATGCTAACTGGTACCATTGTGTAGTAGTTGCTCAAAAAGATGAACTATTTGAGAACGAGGGTAGATCAAGGGACATTGCTCCCAGGGCTCGTTCTCACATGCACGGGGGCGGGGGGTGGGGTGGGGTGTTTATGCTAAACACAGTGTTTCACAGCTTGTCTCTGCAATGTGGACGGCTGCACTTTTCTTAGAAATACTTAAAAAAAAAAAATCCCATCAAAATTTGCTTCTGCAGGTACCTGCTGGGGCCAGTCCAATGCGAGAGGGAGGTCAGCTCAGTTTACGGCTACTGTCTGAGTTTGGGATCCCAATAGACAATCTTGATTTTCTTGAAGGACACAGATTGATCACAGACATCGTCTTGAAATTTTCCTTGAAAACTGCATTAGTGAGCAAAAGGGCAGGAAATACATCGAGGAATTACATAATCCATCAAAACCATGCACTTGCTCAATCGCGAGTAGCCAGGGCTGTGCTCTGAGGACTCTCTCACGGGGAAACTTTACCCATGCACGCTCTCCAGTGCTGATCGTGCCCCTTGGACCTCTAGTCCCGTTTCAAGGGATGCTGAAAAGAAACATAATTTAAGCCCCTCGAGGACACCCCACAAATGTTATTTTCATGTGGCATAACCAGAGCACACCCTTCTGGTTGGATGTGGAGTATTCGAGGGATGGTGGAGTATCTGTTTCACTCTTTTTGAAATCAACGTCTTTTATTTTGAATATTTTATATAGCAATACTTATGTATTTTTTCACAAGTTAAATCAAAATAGCCTTTAGAAAGGCCAACTAAAATTCTCAGTGATCAGTAGCAAAATGAGTACTTTAAAAGTTTCTTTTGGGGTCACTGATATTTTGTTGAACAATGAACACATGATGTGGGAGCCAATGGGAAAAATGACATATAGAACTAAAGAGTCATCTGAAATAACTCTATTCTTTAAGTGAGATATATTTTATCTCAGATCCTTGCTTTTTGACACTAAATTTTATTTTCTAAGCCTAGTTATTTTGCTTGTGTTTTCTTCTGCCACTAGGTGGCTGTAGGATAGCCTTTCTAATCAGGTCAGTTAAATGACCAAGAAATCAAATACTGTACTCTGTGAAGAAGAGTCCTCCTCTTTGTCATCACTTGCCTTATTACAGTATGTAACCCCCGCCCCCAAATATTCAGAGCTGTAAGTCTAAAGATAGCTCTATTTTTTGGAATAATGATGATTTGAGATAAGTACCTGTAAACAAGCTTGCTTCCCTTAGAGAACATAATTCATCTGAACACCTTCAGAAGGGTCCCTATCCGTGTTACTGAACTAGAACCTTATCCGCCCGCCTTGCCCACAGGCCCCCTTTCCTGGGAGTCATACGTGTCAGCACCCGGACATGATCCAGGCCACATATCCATGGATTTGTTTAAAATCTTGAAATAAAAGCAACAGCACGAGTTTAAGAATTTTAAGTACATTTTATTAACAATGAATCCCTTTGATAAGATTATGCTTCAGGAGGCTTTTAATGCCCTTGACAATCTGTACACCTTGTACAAAACAAGAAAAATCACAACAACAACAAAAAAATCAAGGTGAGCAAAACCATTTCGGGACAAATCTTATTTAAATTATACACAACTCAATGAAATATTCTTACGGAAATATATAAATACTTTTTTCTTTCTATGTTACAGTTTTACAATATAAATCAGATTTCAATGTCTCTTCAGTGACCTACATACACCAGAACCTCCAAATATGTAGCAGCGTTACTAAAATTAAAAAAGAAAATCATGTGGTCAGGAAGCCAGAAGTCTGAGATTCTTTTCACAATCCCTTCCCACCCTCAGAATGCATTTACACCATTTGTTTTACAATGCAGCTTTAGGGTTTCAGACAGGCCAGTAATGTAACGTTTATTCTCAACTACTGTCTATGAATTTAATTTTAATCCCCCACCCCTCCCCCACCCCTAACCCATGTATTTGCATCTTGGGCTAAAGCAACCTATTTAGTGGCAAAATTGCAAGGTCTGATTTCAGGGGCATACACGCTCTCTCACATTAAACAGCTCAAAAGAGTCAAACGACATGTGCACTGTAGGCATGCTGTGGCACTGCTCTCCACGGGGCAAGTCCATACTCCGCCTCCTCTGGATGGAAAAGACCCTGGGAGCCGGGCTCAGCGGTCCCCGACCTCAGTGGTCGCCAGCAGCAGCAAGGGCAGGCTTTTACATGACCGCTCGCTCGCTCTCGACAGGAAGATACTTTGTATACTTTGTGAATGGGGAGATGATGTGGACCTTTCCCAAACGTCCCCTGTGGAAAACATGAAATGTTTTCAATTCTAAACAGTTCTTCTCATGAAATCTCTCGAAACCAAGTCTCCCTTTTCTATTTTTCATGTTTTAATGAATTGTGAGTTTGAGACAAAACTGGAGGAAAGGACTCGGAAAACTAAAGGTGCCTTCCAGAGGAAATTTCCCAAGGTAATTTACAAAGTGAATCTGCACTCAAAAATTAGCACCTCACACTTCCCATGCAAAAATAACTGCAGCTGTAATTTGAATGACAGAACATTGACCTGTTTTTATTGCTTAATGATCTGTGTGCTTTCACGCGGTGCTAAAAGGCAAGCTCCAAATGGAATGCGGTTGAATTGCTTATAAACCGCAGAAGACAACTCTAAGGAGTCACTGGCACCTCACTCACTGTGGAGAACTTTGCCACTGTGACATGGACCACTGAGGCTGACAGATCTCCAGCTCCGAGGAACCTGTCCTCACTGTCAGCTCAGAGTCATGGGCGTGGGAAGGTGTCCACCTCCACAGGGCCTCCGAGGACATACAGGATGTCCTTGTACTACCAAGTCTGTTAGAAAACTGCTCACTGGGCCAAAGACCCCTGCCCCCAAGGCGACCTAAGCGTAGAACAGGAAATAAAAGGATAAGAAATTTTAGACCACATTGTTATAAATACTAAATTTCTAATTTTCTAACCTGTCAGTATTTACTTAGTATATGAGGCTGAAATCTGTTCTTGAAAAGAAAAATTCAATTAGAAATGGCAATGCACTTCACAGAAATTAGAAATTCACAGTTTACAACCAGCACAACTGCCCAAATTATTGCCCCAAATTAGGCAATAATTACCCACAGAACAAATTTATATAGACTAAGTTTAATTCTAAAATCTTGAAAAACTACAGTATTGACATTATTTTGGTATTCTACAGCCTGATAATATCTATTATTTATAGATGACTTTCTCAATGAGTTCTATTACCACTGACAGCATTCCTAATACTTTCTGCTGTAGTTGAATATTCTTAATCATCTAATTTAATAGCTTGGCACTGCATCTGAGCATTTTTCATTTTAAAGGTCTACTTTTATACAAACAAATACTCAAAGAAAACATATTAAAACCTGTCAGGAAAATCAAGGATAAACCAAATAGTACTACAAGTTTCAATACAGACCTTTCTTTGTTTTGCTTTTAGTTTACTATAAACCGCAGCTCTCAGTGTCTCCCCAAACTTAAGTGCTATAGGCAGATGTGATGGAACGAGGCCTTTCAAAGGAACCATCAAAAAGTTTTCAAGCTAACAGTAACTACCTCTTAATGTCAGGAAGGAAGACAGGTGGAGTATGAGGATGGGGTGGTGCTGTCAACAAATGACTGGCTACTTTAGAGAGATTAAACACAGATTCCATACTCTGGTAACTGAGGTAGTATTTAAAACAAATGTCTAAAACTTATTATTCCCACTGTGAGTAAGATTATCATGTTACTTCCTTTGGGTTTTTAACCACTAGTTGGTCTAGTATCTCTTGACAGTTGGTTCTCTGGAAAGGCAGTTTAAGTACCCAAGTCCAAAGACCAACGTGGTAGGCAATGCTCTTCTGAAAAGTACTACTGACTTCTAAATAAACACTTGGGGTGAGCCACAAACTGACGTTGAAAAACATGTTTTATCTTCAATAGGGCTTTCTGAGAGCAAACGTGAACCACTTTTTAACAGAAGCAGCAGCTTACAGCCCTTATCCGCCTGCTGTAATGTAAGCTGCTGTGCAGTGCACACGAGAACAATTCACTGAAGTGCAGTCAAAGAGGTGTTAGGAAGGGAGATGAAATGCTTCACTTCAACAGGAACTTTCAGTGCCAGCAAATTAAAAAGAAAAAACAAAAACGCATCTCTGTGAGTTATACTTTCTTGTTCACAGGGTTCTTTTACAGAGAACTCAAAGAACAAACCCATTACAGCGAGGATCTGCAATGTGGGAAAATAGTCATCAGTGGGCCATAACTGTGACAAAGCTGACGCGTGATTGTGAAACAATTAATTGGTATACACAAATGAATTTAAAAAGGGTCCTAATCAGTCCAGCTGGATTTTTTTCTACTTATATAGATCTCAAAAAAGATATTCCTTTCATTTACAAGCATTCTAATGATGGCCATGCTACTTTTATATACAAGTTTGCATATATGTTTAATTCCTGTAAAAATTTCCAAGTATCTTTAGACATATACAAATTAAAGGAAAACAAATAACCTTGCCCTCATCAACTAAACAATTTCACAAATGTGATGAAGGCAATTACTATACTCATAAACTCACCTATCACTGCATTTAATTTGTGCAAAACAACATCACTGGTATAAAATTAAATTACTGCTGCTTTAAAATTTGGGGCTTAAGGCTTTTCACTACAATTTTTAAACTTAATAACAAGTTTTGGTACCTTAAAAAAATATGGCTCTTATTTTCCCTTGGAATGTGTAAATTGTAGGCAAACTTACCTTTTCCTCGGGCGAGCCAACGTTTTATCTAATGCTTGCTTTTGCTTTGGGTCTAAATTACTAGTGCTTGCTCAAGTTCCCATCCACAGTAATGATATGGGAAGCTGACTTGAACAAATGTTCACTGAAAACCTAGGCATTCTATAAATGGAAAATACCTTCATGTGAATTATAACATGGTTTTCTGATTTTAATCAGGAACTGTAGTGAAAAACCTTAATCCAAGGTTCATATAGCCTACTCTATTACACTGAAACAAAGCTGAAGAGATAGAAAACAAATAAGAACATTAATGTAATCCTAGTAACATTAAAAAAATAACTTAGAAGTCCTGGCTTGTTGAGGCTCTTTTGCTTTGAGGTTCCAAACCTCTGAAGTAGTGTTACCAACATGAAGAGAAACGGGGCCAGGCCAAGCTTCCCCCTGGAATACCAGCAGTGAGCGAACACCCTGTTGCGTAATAGGATGCAGCCGTCGAGACACAAAGTCCTGGTGTCCTCGAATGGTTGAGTGAACAAGGCATCTTTACATTTACCCTAAAACCAGACATTAACTGTGTGAGGTGCCTCTGCATATCCTACTGCTGATCCACTGTTTTTATGCTCTTAAAAGGAAAACAAATAGGATGCCTGCAAAGGCACTCAGCGCTTGGCTCTTGCATACATTGGTCGGTAAAACTGTGGTAATAAGTAATGAACATGGCCCCCAGCCCTGAGGGCTCGTTGCGCGAGAGCAGGAAGTCGTTTTGGTTGGGAAGTCAGCAGTCCCACTGCTCAGGTGCCAGTCATCTCTGGAAGAGTGCAGGAGATACTCCTGTCTTTGCTGCCCAGCCAGTCAGCATGTCTGAGGCTTTTAGGAAATCTACCAATATTACTCTATGTAGGATCTACCACCGACATCACTAACATGCGGTCAGGATTCAGCAGATGTATCCACTACGGATTGCTTTGGTGATGTTGCCAACACAGCCTCGGCTTCTTCATGCATCTAAGAAAGAAGCGTGAACACATCAATACCCATCAAGCACATGAATCAACACAATCGCTCTTTTCACTTCACCCAAACATAGAATTCACCTTGCAAGACAAATCCCAGAAGCACAAATGGACTTACCTGTAAAAACTGTACATCTTGAAATAACTCCTGTATAAACCTCCGGCACTGCAGTCGAAAGGTGCAGTGGGACAGCAAGTGGGACACCTCCGAATACAAGCATATGTCGTCAAACGTCTGCGGGTATTTTTCCTTAATGCTGAAGACAAAGAAAGTGGTAACTATTTTTAGATATAACTATTTTCTTCCCAAAGGATCATCTAATTTTTAAACTAGTTTTCTGTCCTGATCCTGATTAAAATATATCTGAGGGATGGCATAAAAATGTATTAATGATTCCTACTTTTCGTTTAAATTAGACTATTTTAAGTTTGTAGTTATTTCTTTATAAACTAAACTACCACCAAGGGTAGAATGTTTCCTAGAGAGAGAGAGAAATATTCTTTCTCCCCGGCATGAGAAAACGCAAAATTTAGTTATCAACCCATTCAGATTATTTTCAAAATTGTTTGCAAGCAGAAATTAGCTTTTAAAATTATTGACGCTATTCATATCTTTGGCTGAAATGTTCCTGTATATGTTTCAACACTTCCAACCACACTGTTCAGCTAGGACGTGATCACCTTGGATTCAGCTGTGGGGTAGGCTCCCCAGACAAGGCTGGAGTCTCCTCTCTCCTGCATTCCACATGGTGTCATGTTGTTTTAGTTGGAATAAATGAAGAAAAGCCAGCCTCAAGTATGTACACAGTTAATGACTACTGATGTAAGCGAATTAGTCTACCTTTTTTGAAGTATATCAAATATCTCTTTTCACCATCATGCAGAAAAAATACTCACGTTAAGAGTCCAGTTTCATGACATTTAGTTGAAACGGAACTACTCAAATTAACGACTAATCTTAGAACTTCTTTTCGGAGGAGGATACGGCACATTGGTGTATCATCTGGAATTGTTTTCACACCTGGGGGGGAAAGTCAGTGTAAAGCACTTCATCTATATCACAGGAGGGCATGTTATGACTCACGGACTTGCTTTAAGACTGCACCTGAAGACCTAACCCTCATCTAACAGGTCTTTTTGGGAACAAAACTCTAATGACAGCATCCAGCTCAGGGCAAATGGTAACTGATGGTCCAGTTGCAATATGAGTCTGCTAAATATACTTCACTAAGACTGGCTTGCCACAAGTCTCCGACAGCTTTAAGGTATTAATATCTACGACAATTTCAAGGGCGGTTTCAGTCACTATGATTTGGTTTGAATCTGAAAACTTACCGAGGAGCAACTCTGTGCTTTTGGTGCTGCTGGCGGAGCCTTCTGGAGACACCCCATCACTGCACCCAGAAATCCCCGAAAACTTAGAGGGAATCACTTCCAATGGGTTAGAGATGGTCTGCTCACACCAGTCAGAATACGGAATGTCTTGAAGGTCTACAGATAAAGTACACATTCATTTTAATTAGTACTAGAATGTTTAATTCCTATGCTTGCATTGTATACTATAGGGATGCTTCTTGGAATCTCTCTTCATAATGATTTCCATTAATTTTCCCATAATGAATATTTTCCAAGGAAATTCAAATTGCTCAGAGAATGACACCTCAGATAGTGAAATGTGCTACATTCTAAAACTTAATTTTCTTAAACTACAGAATATAGGAAAGTCAATATTGTACAAAATCAAATGTAGATGTATATAGTAGTAAAGGTACCTTAGTTATTTACTCCATTCCCATTTCTCCTTTAAGTAAATCCTCCTTTCCATGGGTAAATACTCTTATAAGTTTGATATAATACATACATACATATAAGTTCAGATCTTTTGCTAACTGGTATATTTCCTTTCTTGCGCTTATTGGTGGGATTAAATCCTGTATTGTTCTATTCTATGACTTGCGTTTCCCATTTAAGTACCAATATATAATCACATTTAACACATCAAAACTCCTAAATCAAACATTGTCACAGAGTCTAATGTTTAGTTTATCTGAGAATTTAACTTACTCGATTACCCATGCTACGGTACTCCTCGTTGGGACGTATTCGTGGCTGCTCAACATTTTTGATTGAGAATGTTCCTGAACATGTATATTCTCAGGAGTGACCATGGCAAATGTAAACCAAGAAGACCCTGGCTACCCTTTTAGGACATAAATCACACCATCTCAGTGTTGTAAGCAATTTTGAAAATTATATAGAGCTTTCATCTTATTTTTAAAAGATTCAGAAAATGGCAGCATCTACTCAGCTAGCAGGCAGGATTTTGTTTTTCTTGACAGTAATGCCAAAGCACATTGTCAGAGGAGGAGGCGAAAAGCTCCATGTTCAAAAGCCCAAAAGCTAAACCAGGGTCAATATGTACTAACTACTTCTCCCTATCTTGGTTTCCATACAATAGAGAGATATCAGCAGCTCACCTTACTGCTAGTGTTTTCCTGAAAGTACTGTTTAAATACTAAGCAGAATGTGGGCTAGTCCCTTGGAAAATGAGATCTGTAAATTTAGTGCAGTTCAAACATTTTAGACATAAGGAAATCATGTATTTGTCAGACACTGACAAGTAAAACATGCCACTCAAACACTGTACCTGGCTTTTAAGAATATTAAGAGTACCAGAAACAACTTGGAAACTAAAGTTAACATTGAATAACCAGCTAAGTTATATAAATGTGCCATTTTAGACTCAGCAGAGGTAGTGAAAATGGAGGCAGAGTCCAGATCAAAAAGGTAGGTGACAGGTGCCCAGTGACTGCAGCTGATTCAGTCAGGTGGATTCCCCTGGAAGGGCAGAGCCACTCACCCGAATGACTACATATTGCACTTAGTTGGTTACTGGGTTGGAAACCCAGAATTTCAATACAGACACAATAAAGGCAGTTATCGTCTGTGTGTTCCTGGAGTCCCGTGTCTTCTGTACTTTCTAAAAACAGAGAAGCGTCTGAATGGATGGAATTCATTATTTCTGTAAGACTCATCTGCTGCCGCAGCAAGTGGAAAGAATTTTTTACAAGACCCCCGGTTCCAGATGGAAGACCTGTGCATAAGGAAATATAAAAACACAAGGTGAGAAAGACAGTTGTCAGTACTTTATCTTTTGAAGTACCTTAACTTGATAAAAATAAAAAATGAAATTATATAGAAAATAAAACTAGAATTCCTTTTAAGGCTCATAATCTAACTTTACCTGGAGAAAAAAATTTGCTTTAAATAATGAAAATAAAATCAGTACATATATTTGTATTACTTTAAATGTGACTCAATACAAAACCGAACAGGCTCATTTATATATACCATTAAGGCTCATTTCAATCATTCTCAATATTTGTTTGAAAAGAAAAAAAGAGAGTAGTGATCTTCATTGTACAATCACTTGTTTAACAAAAGTTTACAAATCTATAAAACCTATGGTTTTTATGCATCTATTCATAAAATATTAAAATGCATAATGAGGAGAGAATATTTTTAAGTACATTTAGATCTCCTCACCCCAAACTGTTGTGTCTTACACCTATGAGAACTAATATTACAAATGTCTCATGCACTGCTTTCTAAAACTTGGAGCGATTGATCTGGTTTTGTCTTCATGAGAGATTTCTTAAGTCTCTTACATGCATTTGCTATTGTTTAACACAAACCATCTCAAAATGAGGACCTGATGCCGGGGGCTTAAGTGGAGAGCAAATGTTTTGAGAATGACGAGGGCAATGAATGTACAAATGTGCTTTACACAATTGATGTATGTATGGATTGCGATAAGAGTTGTATGAGCCCCTAATAAAACGATTAAAAAAAAAATCTTGGTATCATTTTCAAGTTGATGAAAAGGTAAGTCTGAGTTTTCCGTTTCATCGTACTAGAAAGAACCAAGCATCAGTAGTCCCCCCACCCCCACCCCCTTCACCCCAGCCCCAAGGGGGAGGCATTTCCAGAGAAGAGAGGCTGTACATTACCTCCCGAGTCGTGGGCAAACACTCTCGAAGCTCGATCATCTTGGGGAGATAGATTTTTTGTCTGAAAATAGGGAATATCCTTTACCTAAATAAAGAAATTATAATAAGCTCTGTTATTAAAAAAGTCCATGTTATAAGTATCAACAAGATTTAACGAAATACAATTTAAAAAGAACTAAAGTATACAGTTTATAATGCAAAGTTAAATAGAACTAAAGCATACAGTTTATAATGAAAAGTATACTAAAGAAGTTTAAAGTACCGAAACTTGAAGAAATTACTCTAAAAGTCTTTATTGTATTCTTGGTGAGTTAAATGGACGTTAAATGCTCAGACATTGTATATTCTTTAGTACTATATGCAATTTAAGGATCTGTGGTTGGGCGTCTCGTGAGGTTAGGGTTACCTTATAAGGTTGAGCACCACATGTAGCGGCTTTATACAGTAGAAACATGTCCAAGAATTAAAATACAAGAAAGTCACACATAGCTAACAAGGTTAGTTACGTATTTCTAGACATGAATAAAAAAATAAAACATGATGCTTATTTAACAAAGAAAAAGATAATGTTCTGGGGACTTCAAGATACTAAATAAAATATAGAGGAATCATGAAAGGGGAAACAATTATCTTAAAATTCGTTTAAGTGAAAATGATTTAAAAATCACCTTTCCTAACATTTACTAAACTTTCATTGCTAGCAAGCAGTGAGAGAGTATGGAAAAAGAATCTAGTGACAAACCTGGAATATGTCATTGATGTCTACTGGAAGAGCAAGGCCGATGTAGTCGTCAGAGCGACCATATGTAGCACTGGACACCATGGACCTCACTGAGGAGGACCGTTGTAGGGTATTTTGATTAATAGGACTTAATAAATCTTCTTTATCTAACGAAGCGTAACTTAAAGCTTTCATGAACCTAAAATACCACACACACAAAACAAATGCTTGCATTAGTTTCTTAATTTGTAATATTAACCATGAGTAAGGATACCCCAAATCAACGTGGGACTCCTGACATGAGATGGTGGCTAAGCTAAAGTTTGAGTTTGGTGAAACTCAATTTTAACTCAAAAAATACCTCTGCAGCAGGAGTGTAGCCCAGCATTCTTGTCTCCTGAGAAAAATCACTAGGTAAACAACTTCAAAGAAACACAAAGTTCTGTTTTCTTAAGGGTTTTTTCTTTCTACTTCGGAAGCAGGGTCCAAAGCAGTTCTTCAAACAGATGTTTACGCAAACTTTAGTTCTGTGCACACCCTCCCTGCAGGCATGCAAGGAGGGCTTGTGTTTCAGGACTGGACATACTCAACAGAATGGTTATTTTGCAACTTAAAAACAAAAACAAAACAGAACTCGAGAAGCATATATAATCTGTCCATCACCTGTACCTTCATCCATTTTGTCACAAGTACCCAAATGTCAACCTGTCACTGAATTCTGGCTGGAGCTTCTTCTAAACTCCCTGAACCATCTCCTCCTTGGGTCACTTGGTTCAGAATCTTCTGGACCTTATAATTCCCAATTGCAAACTGCCTTGCCTCTCAATAAAAGCTCGTCACTTTTTATTTCGACTAGACCTTGGCGATTTTGCTCTTTGACAATCACGTAAAGAAATTATGTCCTACTGTAGTACATGCACTTAAAATACCTATTAAAAATTGATATGCAAAGGGTTATCTCAGTAATATTGAATGCTACCACAAAACAACTGCTTGTGGTTTCCCAAATAAAGGTTGCAAGGTGGGCAATGGAATTTTCTGACAATGGAATTTTAAGATAAGAAGTGGTTTTAAACTACCTCAATAAAATGGTAACTTTCAACCTTTGGAAGAAATGAAAAAAACTGACCTCAGAAGTCAAAGGTATGATCCAAATACTATCTTCACAATTACTTGAGACTGTTAGATTTGTTGTCATATAATCAATAATACATCTATTAACTATATTTAATGTTTTATGTATAAAAATAAGCTCAATTACTTGTTAGGCGGTAATTACTCTAATGCATTCATTATCAGCTTAAGATTTGTGTTACAGGGAACCAAAGCCCATCTGTAGGCAACTGGACACCCCCTTATGGAAGGGTCGCGGGCAGGAGACGAGCCAGTCAGGGTGCAGTGTAGTAATGATGAAACATACAACTTTTCTCTAGTTCCTAAATTCTTCCTTCCCCCTATCCCCCCAACAATCATGATGCCAATTCTATCTTACAAATCTGGCTAGACCAGAGGATGTACACTGGTACAGATAGGAACTGGAAACACAGGGAATCCAGGATAGATGATCCCTTCAGGACCAGTGGTGAGGGTGGCGATACTGGGAGGGTGGGGTGGAAAGAGGGAACCGATTATAAGGATCTACATATAACCTCCTCCCTGGGGGACAGACAACAGAAAAGTGGGTGAAGGGAGATGCCGGACAGTATAAGATATGACAAAATAATAATTTATAAATTATCAAGGGTTCATGCGGGAGGAGGAAGCGGAAAAATGAGGAGCTGATGCCAGGGGCTTACTTGGAGAGCAAATGTTTTGAGAATTATGAGGGCAACGAATGTACAAATGTGCTTTACACAACTGATGTGTGTATGGATTGTGATAAGAATTGTATGAGGCCCCAATAAAATGATTAAAAACAAAAAAGATTTGTGTTACGTTGGAGACAGTTTAACAAAATAGCAAAATGGGTTAACTTTATAGAAACAATTATTACAATAGCCCTACCTGAAGGGCTATTTCGTCAATGTACTGGACAGTGATGCCATAACAATTACGGTATACTAATATTTCTAAAAGTTATACTTTACTCACATAAATTCTTGTTCACACACTAGATATTCTAAAATATTTACTGGGCATCTTCTTTATATGTACTAGGCACTATGTAAGATTGAACATCTCCATGTATATTGCTATTTGAAAAGTTGTATCATTTACAATGTACTGATATTAATATAGTCTTATATTGAAATAAGATGATTCTGTAAAACACATTTTAAAATGCTTCGTAAACGTAGGGATTAAGATCATTCCTAATTCTAATTAGGAATTAGAAAAAAACCATTCGTAATTTCTACTAAAGTAGAAACAAAATGATCATTTTGCTGTAAGTTGATTTTGTACCATTAAGATCAGGATTAGACCAGAGGCTTTGGTAGAAAAGAATATCCACTAGATCTTTGGCACTCTTGACAGTGACGAGAAAGGTCCACAGTGACCCTATGGGACAGAGTACACCTGCCTCTGTCAGTTTCTGAAACTGTCGATCTCGACCCGAGGAGCATCTGGTGATTTCCCACTGCTGACCTGCAGTTACCATCCCAATGCAGAACTCACACCAGGGTGGACTGGGTGGCAGAAGGTTTTAGGGAAAAGCCGTCACACGTGGTGCAGGAGCCCTGGGGGTGTAATGGTTGCACGGTGGGTTGCAACCCACATGGTCAGCAAGTGGAAACACCCAGCAGCTCTGAGGGAGAAAGATTGGCATTTCTACTCCTGTCAACAACTACGTCTCAGACACCCACTAGGGTAGTTGAGAGTCAGCACTGACGGTGGCAGTGAGTTTGGTTTTGCTTTTTGTAGCAAGGGCAAATGCTTCCTTCCTGCTTCACTCATGGCTGAGAATTTGTACCACCCACTTACCTCACTGGGAGAATATTACTCACTCACTCATGGGCTATTATTCAAAGGCCAAATAAGAATTTGAATCCAGAATCAACCCATTCAGAGAGGAAGCTTACTAATATCCTAGAAGTTATATTTTTCAATTTGTGGGATGCATTTGGGGACTTGAAACTCAAAGGCCTCAGGCACTTTTTATCACGAATGTCATAAGTAACTAATTTTAGTGTGCACAAAGATCAACACGAGTAAGTGAATCTAATAAAGTGCTGCTTCTGTGTGTATGTGCTAAGAATTCGAGGAGAATTTACAAAGCAGGCCAGTGGTTCTCAAATGGTCCTGGTATACCTGACTGTATAGGGCTCAAGAAGGTCTACGGGGATAGAGAGAGGAGTGACTGAAGGGCCGTCCCGCCCAATACAACAGTAACGGAGTCCCTCTACCTGGATGCACTCTACACGTGGAGAGCTTCTTTTCTAGGTGTGGGGAAAAGAAGAAGAGGTGGGAGGGTTTTTTTGCTTAAACGACCACAAAAAAACTCCCCTGACTGATCCAGTCTAACCTTCCATTAAGGATAAAAAAACAATGATTAGGTCCATTCCCTCAGTGCCAGGATTGGAACTCAGATTCAAGATTCCTAGGTTCAATGTTAACCTAGAAAATTTCGAGTCCCAGTGGGATTTGAATTTTAAGATTGATGAATTCATGCTATCCACTTCACAGTTCTCAATGTCTACTCCTGATTTTATAGGTTACAGAAAAGGACAAAAGAAAACAAAAAATGTCTTAGCCTAGATTACACATCAGCCTTTTAAAGTAAACTCACTTGTAGTTACTGTGTATCACTTTCATTTTATTGGAACTAGCCAAAGAACAGGAACCAAAGCAGGAAGGCTAATGCCAATACACTCATTTTCTTTTTCCTCCATGCAAACTGGGCACATGAACATACACACACACTGCCTTCAAGTTGGTTCCAACGCAGAGCAGCCCTACAGGACAGACCAGAGCTGCCCAGACCTTTCCAAGGCAGCCCACCTTTAAGCAGGCAGATGGCTGCATGTTCCCTGCTGCAAACCTGCCAACAGGTTCAGACTAGTCATCTTTCTGCTAGCAACCAAGTGTTAAACCACTTGGCACCAGGGCTCCTTACCTGGTAAACAGTAGAAACGAAATACATTTTGAAGGATAAATTTGATAAAGATAAACATTTTGTTATATCTTCATGTCTTGTATAAGTTTTCCTTGTTTCTCTAAACTGCATTTTGCTTTAACTTTTCTAAGAAATCAAAAACATCTACTCATCATTTATAATGCTTAGCAAATCTTCAGGAGAATTTTCAAATAACCTCCTCTTGTAACAAAAAATATAGAATATAAGGATGCACAAAGATGAAAGAATCAGTGATTTGGGATAACTATCTTTTCTGGCTTAGTCTTCTGAATCTTTCAAGTATCACATCCTTTTTCTATGCTTCAATCAATTCAATGAGAAATGATTCTATGGTACATTAAACTCTTCTCTGACAGCTTCAATGAGATAAAATAAAGCCAAATGGATGGTTCAACCTTAAGTACACTTTGGTTATTGTTACTGGGTTACTGTACTGCTTATTCTTACGGTTTCTGGTGGAACAAAATCCACACACTTTACTGCACAGGTGTTTAAGACTGAGCTGTGTGAGATCTGCCTGGCTTTGTTCTGCCTTGATTAGGATGCCAAAGCTGGTAAACTGCTGGTCGAAGAGATAATTAGCCGAATTTAGACAATTTTGTAATCCTCAGGTAGGATTTATTACCTACTCCCAAGAATCCTTTCTGCAAAACGTGTTAGCAGTATTTAAAACAAAATGGCTTAATGGTCTGAAATTTTGGCTATACCGCAGTCAGATAAATTGAAAACGATCAATAATGCTTAACAATGTTGAGTGCGAACAGTAGTAGTAGCTAACTTCTACAGATTACTTTGTGCTATACAATTTTAAGGACCTAATAGTTGTATAAATAAACAATCAAAAAGCAAAAATTATTTGGAATCATTTGGCCCAGGAATAAAATATGTGCATGAATTAAATGTAGCTGTCTATCTTTAAAGAGATATTGTTTTGACCAGTTTGCTATAGTCTTCAAATACAGCACAGCAATCGCTAAATGTCCATAAGTACAGGCCACCTGCTGATGCTGTTGCTGAATCCTGAGGATCAGGTAATTCATTTAGTGCTCAATTAGGTTCCTAGCTAATAATCAGTTACTTAAAACTAACTGAAAATCATGTCTCTGAAATATTTGGTTATCTTAAGTAAATAAATAAGTAACGAGGTCAACCTTTGGGCCTTAAATTGACCTACCTGAAAAGGTTGTTTGTTATTGTAGGTCTTAAGCTCCTGATTCCCCCGACATGCTTCTTTTTAAAATCGATCCTTGCAGAAGCGAGAAATAAATAAAAAAAAGCTTGTGACTCGTGTGTCCTTGCAATGCCTATGTGTTTCCTTTCAGGGTCTAAAGGAGTTTCTTATCCGCCCCCTCGCAGCTGCAAGAATCCTTTTCAAACCATATCGGGTAACTAGGAGCTTATAACCTACCATAGTAAACAATTTTAATAGGTCAGGTCTGTCAAGGTATGTAGACGTAATACCTGGCTAAAGTTTTACATTTAACTCTCTTAAAAGATAGCCATCATTTTTCATTTGTAACAGGACAGTCTCTCACCTGCTGGGCGTCAACCTGGACTCAAAGCTGTGGGCCTTCATGGTGATGGTATCAGTGAACAGCACATCTTTTGCTGGGGATGCCAAGGCTTCAGAATGCGATAAAGATGGGTGCATCCTTTGCTGCTGTAATCGTTTCAGTGTGGCATAGCCGAAGGCATCTCTGGAACTTGTGTAACTGAAGTTACAATCTGCTAGACTTTTAATGGTAGCAAGAGAGGGGGCTTTAAGGGACTGTGCTCTTCTAGGAAGTGTATGAGAAGAACCCGGAGGCACCAGGGACACGGAGTTGGATTTGGAGAGAGACAGGTGGTTAGACTGTGGCGTCAGATAGTGGCTGGTCTTAACAGTTTTAGTACTTACCACAGTACTCATACTTCCACAGTCTGTGTCCACAGTTGTAGCGTCTACGCCTACTGTCTCCCGGGAAGGGCTGGAGCTCATTGAACTGATACCACTGGTTGTCGTGTCTGTATTAAAGCTTTGGCTACGGATTTTCATGTGTGAGCTCGTTGAACTTTCTACAACTAACCTCTCGCGGCTGGTGTTTTCTCTGTGATTTTCTGAACCAAGACTCTTGGTGAATTTTAAGTCATTCTCCCCAATACTTGGAGTGCTACCAGTGTCTTCAGTGTGCTTATTCCCCACAAATGATGTTTCTAATTGCAATGTTTTCTGTACTGTGGAGATGGGGGTGAAATCGTCAGTATGGTTGAGGTCACCAGTGGATGGCTCCGTGAGGGTTCTGATGCGCCTGTTGCTTGTCTTAGTCTCAGACGACACTTTCCCTCCTTTGGGGTCACTGCTACTGCGATGCTTTTTATTAGGCAAACTGAGTGAATTCAAGATACGGTTCTTCACAAGTTTACTAGAAGCAAAGAAAGGGAAGGAATTTTTATCCTTTATAGGTCCAGGTCGGTCATAAAACGCTGGCTCTGCATCCTCATTGATGTCAAGGAAAAATGTACTAGTAGAGCTGCTGCCAAACCGGTCATCCTCCATGATGAACATACCTGAGAGGGCAAACAGAAGCCAGTCACAGATCACATGGCAGAAAAATGGCTTTCCCACTCTCTGCTGGGAAAATAATGGGTTCCACGAACAAGTCATGAGAAAAGAAGTTGCTCGAGACCCAAAATTCAGAAGAAACAGCACTTTGTATTCAAAATGTGGTTACTCAGTAATGTGGAGAGAGAGCTATCTTGTTTTAAGAGCTAAGTATATAATTCATTGGCAAAGAAAGTACCACAGAAGTTGAGGAGGAAGAAATTAATGTGCCCTAGAAGACTACATAAAGAAGGTTCCCTTCAGCGAGGCACTGACACGCAGATGGGGGTGTTCTGCATGCGCAGAGAGGGGCATTCGTTGGGAGCGTTCCCCACAGGGCTGTCTCTCTGCCCCATAATGCTCCTTTTGCAGCTCTAGGCTATCATGTGGACTCTTTCATAAGGCCCTGTAACTTAGTTTTCTCGTGTTTATTCCCTCTGCCCCTTCTCCCATTTTGGGGGATGACTGGACTCTCTAGAGCTACACTGATCACAGACTGTAAGTACACTTGAAATGTAAGACTCTGGTTGAATGAAAAGAAAACTATTTTATAGCCCTGAAGGTTCTATATGCTAGTTCTACTGCCCAACAGGATTGCTAAGGGTCAGAATGTACTTGATTGCACTGGGTTCTAGAAGTCAAAAATTAGTATTAGTCTTTTCCAAACACTTCTGCTATTTCATGTATGGGCTCTAGTTAAGTCAGCCATCGTAAAGGAATAAAAATGAGGCTAGTATTGGAAATAAATACACTTTTCAGTATATTCAACTTGTGTTACAAAGTATTAATAAAAAAGGAGAAATATAACAGTTTGAATGAAGACGTACTTGATTTTGAAAACTTGGAACAAATAAAAAGATGCAAAATAGCTTGCTAAGATTAAATTGTATATATGGAATAATTATCTTCAGAAAAATGCATTCCCAATCTTAATCAAAACATACTAGAGACCAAACCATGACTTTTAAACGCCATGCTTAAATTAGTTATGTTTATTTGCATTTCGCCTTACGCCAAATCCACTGCCATCAAGTGTTTCCACCTCCTATCAACCGTAGAACTGCTATGACAGGTCTCTCAGATTGCCAATCTTTCTGGGAGCAGTCTCCTTCTTTCTCCAGAGCAAGGAGTAGCTGATGGGTCTGAACTGTCAACCTTGCAGTTAGCAGCCTAATGCATAACCCACCCTACCACCACGGCTCTTTTCTGCCTTCTTGTTGTCATTAGGTGCTAGGGAGTCAGTTCTAGCTCACAGTGACCCCCATGTACTACAGAACAAAATATTGTTCTTATGTTTGAGCACATTGGGGCAGCCACAGTATCAAAACACTGTCACAGCTCATCTTTCTCCTGCCTCACCACTTTACTAACCATAAAGTCCTTCTCCAGGGGCAGGGATCTCCAGATAACATGTCCAAAGTACTTAAGACAAAGTCTAGCCATCCTTTGTCTTGAAGGAGCATTCTGGATGTACGTCTTCCAAGACAGATTTGTTGGTTCTCTTGTCAATCTACGGTATTTTCAGTATTCCTAACCAGTGCTGTAATTCAAATGCATTAGTTCTTCTGAAGTCTTCTTTATTCAATATCCAACTTTCACATACATGTGAGGCTTGAGGTAGACACACCTTAGTCTTCAAAGTAACATCCTTGCTTTTCAACACTTAAAAAGTCTTGTGCAGCAGATTTGCCCAATGCAATTCATCCTCTGATCTCTCGACTATATTTCCATGGTCACTGATTATACGTGCAAGCAAGACAAAATCTTTGACAATTTCAATCTTTTCTCCACTTCACCTTCGGGACTAAGAAACTCATCTAAATTCATCATCCAACTCTAAAAGAACACTCAACTCAGCTAATGATATTTATAGGATTTTATTTTTTATTTCTTTGTTAAATACTTATAAACAAATTTAAATATATTTTGAAAGACGATGAAAAGACTCATCACCTATCTATATGTTGTCAACTCTAAGACTCATTGTCCATTTCACATGTTCATGACTGCATCGTCCCAGCTGCACATGGAACACTTTTGCTTTCGTTCTGATATGACATTAAAAGCTGGTGCACTTCATATCATCCAAGTCACCTTAGATTTGCTGAAATATGGTTACACTCTCTGCTTAAAACAAAGAACTGTCCATGACTATGTATGTATCGAGCAGATCAATACTGCATGTGTCAGGGTTGTACCTTTTCACAATACTTGTTCAGTCTACATATTAAGCAAATAATCCATGAGGCTGGACTATATAAAGGAGGCATCAGGACTGAAGGAAGGCTTGTTAACAACCTGTGATATGCAGATGAACTAGTCTTGCTTGTTGAAAGTGAGGACTTAAAACACCAATGATCAAGACTACAGTCTTCATCATGGATTATAAGTCAATGTAAAGAAAACACACACAAAAATCAAAACCAGGCCATTGCATAATATCATGGTAAATGGAGAAAAGACTGACATTGTTAAGAATTCCACTTTACTTGGATCCACAGTCAACGCTAATGTAAGTATTCCAAGTGGCAAATCTGTTGCATTAGACCTCTTTAAAGTACTAAAAGCAAAGATGCCACCCGTTGAGGAGTTATGCGAGCTTGACTCAGGCGATGGTCTTTTCAACAGTTTCAAATGTCTGTGAAGAGCAGACAATGAACAAAGACGACCAGAGAATAACTGATGTATATGAATTATGGTGTTGGTGAAAGTTACATGGACTGTTAAAAGCAAACACATCTGTACTGAAAGAAGTACAAGTATGCTCCTTAGAAGTGAAGTGAGGACGGCGGGATTACTTAACATGTCAACAGGAGCGACAAGTCCATGGATAATGACACCATACATGGCATATCCGAGGGTCGGAGAAGACCCTTGACACAATGGATAGACACAGCGGGCTCAACCTTAAGAACAACTGTTAGGGTTGTGCAGGCAGGACCCTGTAGCGCTTTGTTCTGTTGTACATGTGGTTGCTGTGAGTAGGAACCAACTCTACTGCACAGCAGTGGCAGCATTTAGAGCAGGGCTTAAAAACACAAGCTGTTATAATTTGACATTGGTTTTCTATCTTTAATAATTTCACTATTTTATTAATTTCTGAAATTAGTGTCTCTCTAAAAAAATGGACATGTGTTTATCATTCCCCTAAATATTACCCAAAATTCACAGAAAATTTTAATTAAAACATAATGGAGTTTTCCCACAAATTTGTTGAAGTCCCTCGTAATTAAACAAGCTCTACTTCGAAAAACTAAGTCAAAGGAGTAAATAAGTAAAGATGGGTTGATAAACCTTTATTTGCTAGATGTCACTTTTCTGACAAGCAGTAAAGAGGCATTCTTCTTTTGGTGTATGTCTTATTGGAGAATTCTGAGCACAGGATTTTCCACACACAAAAAATGCTACTTAGAAAGGAAGGGGTGAGAACCATGCAGGCTGTCAGCCAGCTATGTTTCTGGTCTATATAAGATACATATTTTCCCAGAAGCTATTATTGTCAAATAACTATCTGCAAACAGTAAATAAATACATTTAAAATTTGGCATGATAGACAACACTGTCCATTTTGGCTCCCGGTATAAAAGCTTGCCATTGTACTTACTCGAGGGCACAAAATCACTTTCACTGTTGTGTCTGGAGCTTGTGGATTCAGAGTTCAAACTTAGAGTGCTTGGTACAGACGAGAGTTCATTACAGAGCTGCTCTACATCATCCGGAACCACTGGCCACAGATGTTTGCGACTGTGCCTCACAGTATCCCAGCTGTGACATTTGAGAATATCACAGCCTTGTTTAGTTTTAGCTATGAGCCCAAGCACATACACGCAGGTCCTATATGAAAAAGATGTCGTAATGACAGTTTAAATTTCCAAGTAGATATCTCTTTAAGCAACTACAGAGTTGAATTTGCTGTATTTATTTGCTTTGTACATATTTTTAAAAGCCATTAAAATTGCTTAATTTTTATTAAAAATATTACACTTGAGAAGCAAATTGGTGGCAATAAATACCTTGGGAATTTTTGAATTAAGAAGTCATAATTATAGTGAAATATAACAACATAGTTCATGTTGAAAAAAAAGATAGTCCATGTTTAATCATATAAAAAACATGAAAGCTTTTCTGGCATAAATTTGGAATAAACTATTTAGAGTATATACACACACACACACACACATATACACTTCTGCTATTTGCAAGGTGAATTTTAACATTATAAAAATAAAAATGGAGTTAAAATATTAAGCAAAGAGTTTCTTAAAATGTCTACTTAATGAATTTAAAATTGTACAATTCAGTTTCCCAAACTCCTTTGGTCTATAACCTCCTTTTTAAGGGGGGAAATAATTTTATTCAGCACCCTGGCAATTAAGATCTTTGTACTATAGCCCATAATCCAAGCTACGTATTATTGTAGGCATTTGCTTTTGCAACCACCCCCACCTCGATTGTTCCAGTGCCCTCCAAGGGGTGGTAATGCCCACACTGGAAAACATGAATTGTATCATTAGTATTTTCAGTGAATTAAATTATACGGGGCTACATTGAGCTATGAAATAATCTCCTCTCACATCAACTTGTGAAAAATAAAATATATTAGCAATATTTCTGGGTGAAATGACTTACCCTCTCACAGAAAGAACTTCACACTGTTTGGCAAGTTTTAATATATCTGGAATCACATTTTCTTCTTGTAGCAAATTAAGGCCCCAATTTGATGAGCCAATGTTTCCCTGAAAGAAAAAAATCACTATTTCAAATCATAAATTTAACATTATCTGTTGAAAGAATTGAAAAAAAAAATCATTTGTGTGAAAAATGGAAACTAATATCACAAAAACGGTTAGTCAAATCATTTATTCTTCAGCATAAAAACAATATAAAAAGTGGTAGGGACAATTCTGATTTTAAAACATTAGCCTCCCCCTCCCCCAAAAGCCCCATATATGAAACAGTTTATTTATTTAGTATTAATGGGGTCAAAAAGGGAAAAAAATTAAATTACAAAGATCATATATATGTGTTTAATACAAACCAAGGCCCAAAGGGATGCTTTCAGCTTTTTAATTTCTTCCCATTTATCCAAATCTGATTTACGAATGCTGCGACAGAGTTCTGTAACAATATTCTAGGGAGAAGGGAAAAAACACCCAACGAGTAAGAGTATGTTTTTCGCAGTCTTTATCAAGCCCAGGTACAGTCCCATTTAGTAATTTTTTCATATTAAAAAATTCTAAAACAATCTTATGTGAAATTTCTTAAGAGGCGGCTAAATTGGAGCACACGTCTGTGTTTGTAGTACAGTGATCATTAAGTAGTTGCTTTACTACCCAGGCTCAACTTCATCTCAAAAACGAGGATGAAACAACATATCTCATAAGGTTTGCTAATTTGATTAATTATTGCATATAATGTACTTAACAGTGTCTCTCATTTAGTATTATAAAAATGTTAGCCATATTTATCATAATTTTTTAGAGTAAAGAATACATCAATGCTTAGATTTCATCAGACTATGTAGATAATTGCACTGAGAATGCACTTTAAATTGTTAGTGAATTTCTTTTAAAGAAAATATAGTTACCTCCTCTACATATTCAGATACATAATAAAATAAACATTAAAAACTACAGAACTATTTTCATTAAAAACTTTGTGCTTCTGAAATAACCCTGACACATAAAGGAACTAAATGGTTAAATAATATCTCAGATACATAAAAATATTTTGATTACCTTTCAAAACAAGAAAAATTATACTTATTTAAAACACCTAGTTGCAAGAGATATTTACATGTATGAACCCAGTGTACATAATAAACTCAAACCACTTCTTACTTAGGTCTTACTAAGATGGGGTACCAAAAAAAACCCAAAACCAAAATGGAAAAAAGCTGTGCTAGGCAGAGTTTTTCCCGCTAATTGAGCACCGAGTAACTCGCTCTGAGTTAGTGTACCCAGTGCCATCGCCTGGGAAGGGTCTCTCTGGTAACAGTGAATTATTTCATAGAAGCAGTTTCCCTTGAATCTCATTTTCTGTGATGACCGATTTAAGAGAACAGTGTGTGGCTGTGGAATTTGTTTCCTGCTTGGGAAAAATGCCACAAAAACTGTTGTGATGTTCAACACAGCTTGCAAGGACAGCACTCTGGAAAAACTCAAGTGTAAGAGTTGTTTTCTCGCTTCAAATGAAGTGAAATGGTGATTGATGACAAACCTCACTCTGGATGTCCACCAACTTCCCAAATGGTCAACAATGTTGACAAAATGCATGCACTTGTGCTCAAAGACCGACGATGGACCATTGAAGAGATGGAGAAGTTACCTGAACTGTGTAAGAGCTTGATTCAGTGAATTTTAACGTAAGATTTGGGAATGAGAAGGGTTGCTGGGGAATTTGTGCCTCAGGTTCTGACCGACCAGGACAAGAGCAGGGAAACATGTTGTGCTTTCAAAGAACAGCTCTGTAGCAACCCAGACTTTTTCCCAAGGTCATTAAGGTCATTACTGGTGCTATTCTTAAAGCTCCCAAAGCAAGCATCGGTCAAGCCAGTGGGAAAATGCCATCGTCACCTTGCCCAAAAAATGCTTGTCCAGTGAAATCAAAGACCAAGATGATGCTCATTTATTGTTTTGATGTGAGGGCTTAGTGCATTTGGAGTTTGTTCCACCAGGTCAGACTGTTAATCAAGCTTTCTATTTAGAGATCCTGAAAAGATTGTATAACAGTGTGTGAGCAAAAAAGCCTGATTTGAGGCAGATGGGGACTAGTTTTGCCACCATGACAATGCACCAGCTTACGCAACCATCTAAGTGCGCCAGTTTTTGGCAAAAAACAACATGCCTCTCTTGCTCCACGCACCTTACTTACCTGACTTCGCTCCTTGTGACATCTTTTTGTTTTCATGAATGAAGAGGGATATGAAAGGACAGAGATTTCACAACATAGAAGAGGTGAAGAAAAAAACAAGGAGGTGCTGTCAGCCATCCAAACAGATGAGTTTGAAAAATGTTTCCCCAAGAATGGAATCACAGATTTGACAAATGTATTAAGTGTAATGGAGAGTACTTTGGAGGTGAAAAGGTTGTTTTATAAAAAAATTTAAAATACATAACTTGTTGCTCACAAGGATAATTAAATCTCTCTGAGGTTCAGTTTAGTTAGTTCTCAAGGAGGCGGAGGACACTTTTTATAAGTTGTTTAATAAGGAGAACAGAATTTATTCAACAAGCTATACAGAACTCCGGCTTTCACTGGGTTGCTTATCATATGGTAACAAGTCAGCTATGCACAAGGTGCTATAAATCAGTAAAAATTCATAATGAAATTTTTCCTAGGAAGTTTTTGAAGCCCCTCGTAAAATGCATGCAAGATATTGATAGTTCTAAGGAAAAATATAAAACGTCTGAATAATTCTAAGATTGAAGACTTTAAAAAGCAATGATGACACTGATTTTTAAAAACGTTAAAGCTTTTGAAAAATGAATTACTTGAGGAATATTAAGTATGTTTGTTTGTTTTGTTTGTAACCACTGTGGCTATTTAAAATAAGCAAATTACATCTTACCTGCACTTCTAACAAATGACAGCCTGTTTTGTGGTGTACCAGTTGTCCATAAAGGTGTACAGGCAGATAAACATGAGGACGCTGTAATCTAGTATAATGAAGAAAATTTCATGTTCCCATTGGTTTATTTTAAATATACTCATTAAAATATTGACTCTTAATAGTACATTAAATTAAAAAATTGATATAGAAGTCCCTAGCAGAAATAAAAGTATGACAGTGATAAGGCATGAGGCTTTTTTCTGAAAAATAATAATCTGGCTAGTCTTGAATTAAGAGCACAATGTATTTAGAAGCTCTTCCAATAAAACTCTAAAACCACACTCACTAATGACCCCATGAGCTTCCGAGGCTATAACTGTTTACAGAAGCAGAAAGTCCAGTCTGTCTCTCATGGAGCTTCTGCTGGTGGTTTTAAACTGCTGATCATGCAGATCGCAGCCCAACGCATAATCACTCCACCACCACCACCAATACCCTCACACTATCTAATAGGTAACAGAGAACAGATTGAAGTTGTCAGGAATTCATCTCGCCTGAGTCTACAATCAGTACTCATGGACACAGCAGTCAGTCATGAGATCAAAGCATGCATTGCATTAGGTAAATGTGCTGCACAAGACTCTTTAGAGGAGGTACCTCCAGAATTAAGGTACACTTGACCCAAACTCTGGTATTTTCCTTTCTTTTTTTAAAAATCATGCCCCCCTCCCCTTTACAGTGTTTTTTAAATCATTTTATTGGAACTCTTACAGATCAAGCCTTGATATTTTCACGGGAACAGAAGGCCTCATCTCTCTCCTGGAGAGAGACCAGTCGTTTTGAACTGTCAACCTTGTGGTTAGCAGCCCAACACATAACCCATTACACCACCAAGCCTCCCCAACCCTGGTATTTTCCATTGCCTCATATGCTTGTGAAAGCTGTACATTGAAAAGGAAGATCCATTTTGAACTATGGTGCTGGCAAAGAACATTGAAAGTAACACAGACTGCCAAAAGAACACACAGATGTGTCCTGGAAGAAGTACAGCCAGAGTGCTCCATAGAGGCAGATATAAGATTTTGTCTCATGTACATTGAACATGTGACCAGGAGAGACCAGTCCCTGGAGAATGACATCATGCTTAGTAAAGTAGGCAGCAAAGGCAGCCAAAAAAAGAGAAAAAGAGCCTTGGCAGAAATGGGTTGACACAGTGGCTCCCACTATGGGCTAAAACATAACAACAATTGAGAGGATGAGGTAGGTCCAGGCCATGTTTTGTTCTGTTGTACATACGGTCCCTACTGCCATCAACTTGAAGGTGCCTCACCACCACCACCACCACCACCACCACCACCAATAAGGGAAAGGAGCCCTGGTGTCTCTTTTAGGTAAGTATTGGAAATGATAACCCCAAGGTTGGCAGTTGAAACCCACTAACTGGAGTGAGAGAGATGAAGCTAACTGCTCCACAATGATGTATAGGTTTGCTTTTGGTTTTATCAGTAAGTGTACTTAGCACATTAAGAATGATACAGGAAATTTTTAGCAATCAATGTTACACTAAGACTTTTACTACGACACCGACAAGGTCAAAGGTGAAAACTCACTGAGGGAGCTGTGTGTGGAAGACGAGGCTGACACTTCTGTAAAGATTTACAAAGCCTCAGAAACCCTATGCAGGTCTTTCTGAGTGGGGATGGACTAGATGGCAGGAAATTGGTTTTTCTTCTGGTTTTGGTTGGTGTTAAGATATTAAGTACTCAGAAAATGTTTTTTAAATAAGTTTTTACAATTAGTTTGAAATTTTAATATTTGAAAGTCAGTAATAAATGGTTCCATTAACTGGACTGTACCTTTGGTTACTCCGACGGACATAATTATCACCATCAATCGGCTTCCGATAAGTAGTAAGTGCTTCATTAAGCTGTTCCTCGATCAAGTCAACATATTTTGAATTATATTCCTAGGAGATAATATTGCTTTAGTATTACATATCATACTTGATAAGTGAACAACTTTACAGTATGGCCCCTACTCAGCATATCTTAAACAGCAAAAGACTAAAATTCAAAATAGGAAACAGGAAAAAAAATCTGTTTAGGAAATGTTGTTAAAAATACAGCAAAGCCTTAAGAATGCAAATGTTTTATTCTACCCCAGAGATTTCCACTTGCCTTTTGTTCCTCATCATCAACTAATAATTTGGGCACTTGTAAATAAGTTAGGAAGAATTTTGGTTTTCATTTTGAATCTCTTCCCTCACTTAAAAATAATAACACTGGTACAGATAGGAACTGGAAACACAGGGAATCCAGGACAGATGATCCTTCCTGGACCAGTGGTGAGAGTGGGGATACTGGGAGGTGGAGAGAGGGTAGGGTGGAAAGGGGGAACCAACTACAGGGATCTACATATAACCTCCACCCTGGGGGACGGACAACAGAAAAATGGGTGAAGGGAGATGTCAGACAGTGTAAGATATGACAAAATAATAATAATACGACAAAATAGTTATCAAAGGTTCATGAGGGAAGGGGAAAAAATGAGGAGCTGATACCATGGGCTCTAACAGAAAGCAAATGTTTTGAGAATGACGAGGACAACAAATGTACAAATGTGTATGTATGACTTCTGATAAGAGTTGTATGAGCCCCCAATAAAATGATTTAAAAAAACAAAACAAAAAAATTTTTAAAGAAAAATATTTCATAATATACAATAATAATAATAGCTTAATGTTAAACCATGAAAACATTCGCTGGAGATTTTAAAGAGAAATTGACTTCTATAATTTTAACACCTTTTGGTAAGAAATTATTGTCTTTCCCCACTAATTCCAATAAGTTCATAAAAAAATGTTTCCTAATAAAAGCTTAAAACCAAGCTATACAGTTTTGTTCAAATGACAAATTCTGTTCAAATGACTGCCCCTTGTTCCACTTATAAGTGAATGAGCATAAATGAGTGTTCCAGAATTTCCAATCTATGGAATGTTATCCACGATTAGTTATGATCCAGTCTAGAGCCTTAGTGCAATCAGTAAATGAAGGTAAGTATCCTTCTAGTATTCTCAGCTCTTTAATATTGTCAAGGATTTACCCCACTACTGCCAAACCACCTGTAATTCAGCATCTGTATTTTTCTACTAGACTCGCTCTAGCAAAATTCACCAATGACCTAATTCTACAACCTACTTTCCAATGGTACTCTAATGTGATCTCTCCAAAGATTAAATGCCAGAACCCTGTCACTTTCCCCTCAACATCCTTTTCTTTTCCTTACATAAATACAGTGCTCCCTAGAGAGGAATCTGGTCTTCTTTTGTGTGTTGACATTTAATTCCCTTATCATCTATAGAATAGAAGACACAAGGTGGCTCACAAGGCCTTCCATAATTTTCTAATTTACTATTCTAGTGTCGTCTTGCAACTCCTCACTAAGCCTTGTCCAGCTCTCAGTCTAAGTTGGTACAGTTTCAATGATCTATTCAATGCTCTAACTTGAATACCCCTTCTTCCAACTTATTTGCCTACTTACACAAAACTATTACAAATTATCATATCCTGATATGATTCAGAATGCTGAATACACTCAGCATTCCTTTTACTAATCTCAAAGGCTGATTCATGTATTTCCTCATACACTGTACAAGTTTTTATTGTAGCAGTTATATTTGAAGCCCTACATCAGGTTTTCTGAACAATTTCTGTATATTTGTATTAAGTAATCGACTTCATCATATTTTTAATTTGAATATCTTCTATTTAGGAAATAAAATTATCATGCCTCAATTCTCCAATTTGTCAATTATTAAAAAGAGGGCAAATAGTTTTGTAAGCGATCTCAAATGCTGAACAATCACTTACATTAGATCGAGATTAGTTTGGCCATCAAAATTACAATTGCATTTACAGTTCAGAATGCTTCAAACTAAACAATAAAGCCACAGCGGCACAGGGTGCCAACTTCTTCCTCTCATAATACTTAATGATGTCAAGTAGAAACTACCAGCGACCCTACAGGACAGGGTAGAACTGTCTCTGTGGGTTTCAAAGACTGTAACTGGTTTTTGGTTTTGTTTTATTTACCATGCGAAGCAGCTGTTAGTTTCAAACTGCTCACCAAGCAGATCACAACCCAACATGTAACCACTATGCCACCAGGGCTCTTCTTCCATAATAGGTTTCCCTATTATTTGCAACAGCAAGAAGCTTGTCAGATTTATGTCAAGCAGTAACCAAAACTGAAGCTTAATTTGATGATTAAATGTGCTCAGGCTGAATTGTTTTTAATCTTATCCTTTATTCAGTAAAATTTGAGTTATAACTCGAAAGAGCTTATGTGAAATTATAGGCTATAATATATCAAAAAAAGAGAGAGAAAATATGGTAATTAGGGTCAACTAATTGACTAGTACATTATGAGTTGAATATCTAAAAACCAAAAGTTAGATAGAATATACACTTTAAAAAAGTTTATTGCAAAAGAAATGTGTAAAATAGAAATTCTAATAATTACACAGAATTCAGTAATTGTTTCCATATAACTATAGAACCATTTAATTTCATTAGTTTCAAAATCATGATAAAATAAAAATCATGCACTAATTGCAAAAACTCACCAAGATAAAAGCATGTAAATTAAACCTTATTATTAGAAGTTACCTTGTGCCATTTTTCCAATTGTTTTGCTACAAACCCCCTTTCATTCAGATAGGTAAATCCTTTTGGAATAGAGAGAAATCTGTAAATTAAAATAAGCAGTAGTTTAAACATTTCAGTTTGACACAAAAAGTTACAGCTATAAGCACATTTTGTAGCTGAAAAAATGAGGGGTTTTCTAGCTAGAAGGTCAACTATTATTTGCTATAACTTCAATCATTAATAAATTTGAACAATTTTTGCAAATATACATAAATTAATCACAAAAAGAAAATACCAGAAAAGCAAGAGAAGACACAGGAAAGGGTTTCAAAGTTTGTGGGAAAACAGAATTAAAGGAAAAGGGAAATAGTCTGTCAACTTTTTGAAGAACCCTGTTCAAATGGGGGGAGGGGGGAAGGGAGGAGGGCATTTAAAAAGCACAAGTGAGTTACTTCCAATATGAAAATATTTTCAAAGTTCTAAACCAGGCCCATTTCAGAAATGCAGAGGGTAAATTCCTTCAGAGTGCTTGCTACCCAGAGTGGAAGTCAGCTTGAACACACACTGTGAGAGAAAGCACCACAAAAAGCAGAGCTCCAAGAAACATTTACCTCAGGAGGAGAAGCAAACCCTTGTCTCCAAGGTGAGAGAGAGCTGGCTTCATCTGAATAAGAGCATGGAGGTTGGCCTACAAGAAATGATTATTAGGCAAATTAATAAATGTACAGAGATAGTAACTCCTTTATTTCAAAAACCCAAACCAAATCCACCCCCACAGAGTTGATTCCAACTCATTAATGCTCATATAACGCATTATAATCCATGTAACTATCAACATTAAAACCATTTTAAAAAATTTTCAGCTGTTTTATTATGAATTAGGTGAAAGTTCCAGGTCAAGTTTCCATGGAACAATTTGCATACATTTCATTTCAGCTCATTGATTGCAATGCCCAAATCACTTATCCCACCAGCAGTTGTTTCCTATTTACATTCCTCTTACTTCCCTAGCCTTTCTGAATCTTGTTTCTGAGCAATGCTGTCCTTATTATCTCCAAGGGCAGGTTATTCTAAACATCCTAGTGTGATTCTTCCCTTTATAGACCTATTGTTTGGCTGAAAACCCACCCATGGTTGTGGGTTCATTTCCAAACCTGAAGGGTGACTAAGGGTCACAGTTTGGGAGTTCCACCAGTCTCTATCTGAACGGAGAGCCGGGAGTCTTTCATGATTATCAGTTCTTTTCTACATTTTTCTCCCTAAGACCTGCTAATGTGATCCTTTTCAGAATCACTGGTAGTGGTAGATGGGCACAATTTAGCTCTTTTTGTCTCCGGTTTGCTATAGAATGGTGATCATGTGGTCCATTTGTGCACTGGACTGTTTCCACGTGTCTTTAATTTTATTTACTCTTCTTTCCTTTAGATGTGCTGGGACCACTAGCTGTGCCTTAGATGGCTGCTCATGAGCTTTTAAGACCCAAGTTGCTAGTCACCAAAGCAGGATGCAGAACATTATCTTTGTGGACTATGCTATGCCTACTGACCTTGGGTTGACAAGCCAATGCTCCTTAGACCCCTGGCCCAGCAACTCATTCCCTCAAGGTGTTCAGCTATGTTTAAGTAGTTTTCATACCATTGCTCCACTTTTATGGATATATTTACAGCAAAAGTTAACATATATACACAAATATCCTGTCAAACCTCTATGTACTCATGGGTATGCTCCCACTCTCCCTCCCATAACCACTCAACTGGGGCGTCTATCCATCCATGCATCTACTCGGAGTTCAGCACGATTGCAGGGCTGTGTCCATAACAGTATTTACCTCTGCTGCCTTCAACTCTTATACTCTTCCCAGTGTGTTCCTCTGCCTCCATCATTTTTTTTTGCTGACCTTTCTTTTATTTCACACTTTTAGGAAAATTCATCTTAAGCATTTCATTATAAAAATAAGACCTTCACCTTGTCTTCACATGCTTCATCGAGGATATCAAGAGCTTCAGAGGAAATCGTTTTGTGTTTATCATGCAGCTGGGTCACTAGTAACTCAATTCCCCAGTTACTGAAGAATTCAACATTAGCTCTCAATAATACCCTTAAATGTTTTGTTGCATATAGCCTACAGGCCTATAAAGACAAATGAAAACATTAACAAAACAAAAACAACTTTTATCATGAATTACTTGACTTTGTTTTAGGGCAATTCTGCCATTCTAAAAGGGCAGAAAGACTGAATTGACCATTTCTTTTGGGGGAGGTGTGTGTGTGTGCTATATATAAAAGGAAGATAAACACGCCTTTCTGACTGCTTCTTCACCTTTATATAAAAATATGAAAACTACGTAGTATTCCTTAGGGAAATGAAAATGTTAAAGCAACTTCAAATTCCATCACATCTTATTAGAATTGAAATCTTTAAACTGTTGATTTACCGGATTATGTAAAGCATACTTCTACTGGGTCTGGTATACTCACATCAGTGGCTGCAGTTAGGATTTTGGAAAGAATAACTCTAGCCAGTCCATCTCTGCTATAGTCCAAGCTAGACACTGTCAGTTTTAGTAAGTGATCTTGGCTTTTCAAGGAGCACAGGTTAAGGAGACTTAAAAAAAAAAAGGATAAGAATACTGAATGTTATTCGAAGTTATGATGGCACATTTATTAACTCCTATTAACGTCTCTAAATACTTTTGCATTCCCGTAATACTTGTCAAATACACAAACAAAGACTAGAAATAATACCATTTCTAATCAAATCATCCAGCGTAGGCACATAACAGAAACAGAAGGGACAAGTGCTCACCATTGAAACACATTGCATTTTTCCAGCATTTTGACTCCATGAGGGTGGCAAGACAGTGTTCCAATAAATAAAAAGTAGTGTTGACTAAGGGTAGTCAATAAACCATTGTTTTGAAGACTTCTTTCTGGCTTCATTCCAGATGAGGTATTGAGCCACTGAACAATATCCTTTACTAGATCTTCTAAGTATCCTTGACCATCCTAAAGCAAATACATTCAGGCAGTGTTGGAATAGCATTTAACAAGTGTAAAAAGAATCAACTTCAATCAAGTTCATAGTGTAGTTCATAGTACGTGTCACTAATCACTGAATATGTGTCATTTTTCATCTACTCAGCTCAGGGCCACACTGGTGTGCTATAATTTTCCATTTTTCAGGAAGGGACACAGGTTTGCAAGAGAATGAATACCTTGATTAGGCTAAAATTCAATCCCAGTTGGGGGCTCGATCTGTAGGTTTCTAAATACTTTCTTTCGTATTTAAAAATGGAAGTTAAGTAAGGTAAAGAGTGTGGGATGGGTTTAAAAAAAAAAGAAAACATTGGAAAACATTCAGGTTGCTTACCTCCTCAGACTCAAGAAGAAATTCTGTAAACTGGCAGCCTACAACGGTGAGCTGCTTGGATTTAGCAAAGTCAAGATTTAAGATGGCATATAGTTTACTGCTGGGCTTGTAAAAATAAAGCAGTCTTCGTACAAACCTAAGATCAAAAAGAAAACTATTAACAAAGTGAGAAGGCAAACAATTATTTTAGAATCTTAATTATAGTTCATGGTATCATAAGGCTTTGAATAAGGTTTTGGATTTGAACCACTGAGTTAAATAACAGCAACAACAACAAATAATATAACATGAATGGTTCACTAAGAGGGGAAAAAAACTTCAGTGCAAAGAGTATTTTGTGGAATAAGAATTTTATGATGAAGTGTTTAAATAAGAAATAGTGGGGGGGGGAAGCATTCAAGAATTACAGAAGTTTGTTATGTTTCATCGTTGATACATTGCACCCTGACTGGTTTGTCTGCTCCCTTCTACCCTTCTGTAAGGGATGTCCAGTTACCTACAGATGGGCTTTACAACTTTCCTCTAGTTCTTAAGTGCTTCCTCACCCCCATCGCCACCCCCACCCCCAAAAATCATGATCCCAATTCTACCTTACAAATCTGGCTAGACCAGAGGATATACACCGGTACAGATAGGAACTGGAAACACAGGGAATCCAGGACAGATGATCCCTTCAGGATCAGTGCTGAGAGTGGCGATACCAGGAGGGTGGAGGGAGGGTGAGGTGGAAAGGGGGAACAGATTATAAGGATCTACATATAACCTCCTCCCTGGGGGATGGACAACAGGGAAGTGGGTGAAGGGAGATATCTGGTAGTGTAAGATGACAAAATAATAATAATTTATAAAATATCAAGGGTTCATGAGGAAGGGGAGAGCAGGGAGGGAGGGAAAAATGAGCTGATAGTAAGGGCTCTAGCAGAAAACAAATGTTTTGAAAATGATGAGGGCAACAAATGTACAAATGTGCTTGACACACAATAGATGTATATGTATGGATTGTCATAAGAGTTGTACGAGCCCCCAATAAAATGACTTTTTTTTAAAAAGAAAGGAATAGTGAAAGAGATGCTGGTGGTCAGGAAAAATACAGGCCTAACATAGTTAGATGATAATGTTGGATAAATGAGGAAGCTGGCCAGCTTTAAATTATTTTATTGTGTTCTCTGAAGAACTTTGCCCCGTAACTCTATAAAATAATTTTATGCTTAATAATTATAATCAAAATGTCATCACCCTCTAATTCTGTCTACTTCTCGCAATTAGGTGAAAGACCAAGCACCAATGCTACATATAAAGTTGGAACAATTAACTTTTTGAAGCAATGCATATAATTTATAAAATTTCAGTTATGCTATTCAACACTATGTTCTACATTTTTATTTTAATGTAATGCCATTTACTTCAGTCTAATCCAACCGGTACCAGGACCCAGTACTAGGAGTGGAAGAAAAAAGGTGAACGAGGTATCATCTCTGTTCTCGAGGAAGCTGAAAAGCTAGTGCTTTTATGTCTGAATTCCAATGTCATTTAGGTGTTATATCTCAAAAGAAAAATAAGGTGGACATCATGAATACATGTAGGCAAGTCACACTGCCCCAAAATAAGGTGTTCTAGTCTATATCTTGGTTAGGCTAATTTAGAGACAGTAAAGACCCCTGGGTGTACTAGTGAACAGCCTAAGAAAAAGGTGTGGAGAACGCCAAATGATGAATGGACAGCTTGCTAGGGCCAGACAAATGTGGAACTAGAATGTTTTAGAAGGCCACTTATTTTGTGAGGGAAACATTACATGCTTATTGTGTGATGATTATGACATCCCAATTTGAAAAAGTTACTTTATCTGTTCCAAACCAGAATGTAAATAGAAAAAGAAGTGGCTGGTGTGTAACACACAAATTTACTTAACTACTGAACTTGAAAAAGACCGCTATTTCTTTTAGCTGGCAATACGCAGGTTGCTGTTGGGTGATGTCAAAGAGATTTTGACTCAGTGTCGCCCGTGCACAGAACGAAACACAGTCTGGTTCTAAGCCATCTTCGCAATTCTTATGTTGAGGCCATTGTGGCAGTCGCTATGTCAAGCCATCTTGCCCAGGGCTCCTCTACTTTACCAAGCATGATGTTGCTCTCCAGGGACTGGCCTCTCCGGATAATATGTCTAAAGTACAGGATACAAAATACTGCCTTCCCTTCCTCGAAGGAGCTTTCTGGCTGTTACTTCCTCCCAGGCAGATTTGTTAGATCTTTTGGCACTGCATGACATTGTCAATACTCTTTACCGGCACAATTCAAATGTATCCATTCTTCTTTGGTCTTCCTTGCTAAATGTCCAATTTTCACATGCGTACAAGATGACTGAAAATACCATGGCTTAGTCCACAAAGTTAATATCCTTGTTTTATAACACTTTAGCTTTACCTAATGTAATGTGTCGTTTGAACTCTTGATTGCTGCTTCCATGAGGAGATTGTACATCCAAGCAAATTAAAACTTTGACAACTTCAAATCTTTCTCCATTCATCATGCTACCTATTGGTAATGAGAATTTTGGTGTCATTTACTGTGAGTTGTAATGCATTATCAAAACTGCAATCCTTGTTCTTCATCAGCACATGCTGCAATTCTGCCTCACGTTCAGCAAGTAAGTAATGCCATCTGCATATTGCAGGTTGTTAAAAAGCCTTCTTTCAATTCTGATGCCACATTATTCATATAATCCAGCTTTTAAAATTATTTGTTCAGTATAAAGATTCAATAAGTAAGGTGATACAACCTTGATGCAAACCGTTCATGATTTTAAACCAGGCAGTACTTCCTTGTCCTCATTGCACAACTGCCCCTTGGTTCATGTTCAGGTTCCTCATGAGCAGAATAAAGTGTTCTCAAATTCCAGTCCTCTTAAGACTATCCATAATTTATTATGATCCACAGTCAAATGCATTTGCACAGCCAGTAAGACAAAAGTAAGCCTCTATCTGGTATCCTCTGCTTCAAGCCCAGATCCATCAGACATCAGCAATAAAATCCCTTGGTTCCATATCCTTTTCTGAATCAGACCTGAATCTCTGGCAGTTCCTTGTCAGTGTACTGCTGAAAGCATTGTCAGTTGATCTTCAGCAAAATTTTAATTGCAGTTGAAATTAATGATATTGTCCTGTAATTTGAGTATTCTGTTGGGTGACCTTTCTTTGGAATGGATACAAATATGGACCTTTTCCAGTTGGCCAAGTAGCTGTCTTCCAAATTCCCTGGCATAGAGTGCTTCCAGAGCTTCATCGACTTGTTGAAACATTTTAATTGCTATTCCATCAATTCCTGGAGCCTTGTTTTGAGCTAATGCTTTTGGTGTGACTTGAACTTCTTTGTTCAGCCTGTTTTCGATCATACGCTATGTGCTGAAATGTGAACTATTATTTCCATATTCCATGCATATTCTTCAGCTGCATCCTGTATCATTTGACATTTTGCCCATAGAATCTTTCAATATTGCTGCTCAAGGCTTGACATTTTTCTTGAGTTCTTTCAGTTTAAGATATCCAACCCGGTTCTTATTTTGTGTGTTTTGACTCTAGGCCTTTGCATGATTCATGTCTTCTTGAGATGGTCCTTTGGAATTTTCTGTTCAGGTTTCTGACTTAATCCATTTTTCCCTTAGCTCCTCTTATGAGAGCCTCTTCTAACATTCACTTTGATCTTTTGCTTTCTTCATGACTGATGGTCTTGATGTCCTCCCATAGCTCATCAAGGCTTCTTTCATCAGTGTTCAATGCATCAAATCTGTTCTTGATATGTTCTCAAAATTCAGGTGGGACCAACTTAAGGTTGTATTTTGGCTCTCGTTGACTTGTTTTTAATTTTCTTCAGCTTACCGGGCAATTGATGGTCTATTCTAGTCAGCTCCTGTCTGGTTTTAGCTCTTGATATTGAGCTTCTTCAGAGCCTGCTCCCAGAGTAGCAGTCAAGTTGATTTCTGTGTATTCTATCTGGTGAATTCCATGTGTATAGTCGCTATTTATGTTGCTGAAAAGGGTTATTTGCTATTAAGTCATTGGTCTTGCAAAATTCTATCATGGGATTTCCAGCTTAGTTTCTATCACCAAAACTTTATTTTCCAACTACAATTTCTTCCTCTTTATTCCCAACTTTACATTCCAATCCCCAATTGATCATGGTTGATAAATTTCAGAATGAAGACATTGGCATAATTTTCAGTTTCTGCATCACTAGCTTTAATGCTTGTGCATGAAATTTGAATCATAGTTGTACTGACTTGATTTTCTTATGTGGGTAGATACTATCCTACCACAGACAACACTGTACTGCATGATAAATCTTGACATGTCCTTTTTGACAATGAATGAGACACCATTCTTCTTGACTGTGTCATTCCTGGTATATTAAACTAAATGATTTTCTAACTAAAAGATTAAACTAAATGATTCAAATTGCCAATACCAGTCCATTTCTGCTCACCTATGCCTACAATGTCGCCCTTTATTCCATTTAATTTTGACAAATTCCAATTTTCCTAGATCTAGACTTCATCAATTCCAAGTTCTAATTATTAATTGGTGTTCCAGCTGTTTCTTCTCATTTTGAGTTGTGTCAAACAGCAAATGAAGGTCCAGAAGGTTTGCTACATAGGCTTCACTCCTCAGTCACTATGGAGGACTCTACTTTGCGAAAACAGCTCTTCCTCAGTTGTATCTTGAGTGCCTTCTCACCTGAGGAGCTTATCTTCCAGCTCTAACTCTGACAATACTCTGCTTCTATTCATTAGGTTTTCTGTATCTGACAATGTTTTGAAGCTATCCATAAAGTTTTCTGTAGCTAACTCCTCTGAAGTGGACAGTCTATTCCTTCTTAGTAGTCTGTTCTTAGTCTAGAAGCTCTGCTGAAACCTCTTCGCTTTGGGTGACACTGCTGGTATATGAAATACCAGTGATACAGCTTTCAGCATCACAGCAACACACAAACCAACACACTATGACAAACATTATGCAATGGTCATAAATGAATGCAAATCCAAGTTCTTCCAATAGTTCTTACATACCTGTGTAATTGTTCATCTTTATAGTTTCTTAGATTTATATTTGGCCACTGGAAAAAATATATAAATACTTATCAATTATCAAACATTTAAGAATGTAATTATAGCAAAATGAAGATATTCAAGCATTATCAGAGATATCAAACCTTAAGAATGGTCCCTATGAGATTCCAATTCCATTCAAGATTCTCTTTATGTTGGAGGACTTGACTATCTCTAAGGTTCATTAAAAGTGCTTCCTCTGTATCCTAAAAGTATCAGAAAGTAATAAATAAAATTAAGAAAGTTGTCTGCATTATCAGCAAGTTATATTCCAACTTGGGGAAAAAAATATATAGAATGTCAAGATTTTGTAACTTTAAAAGTTAGTAATTTACACCTCTAAACTACATGAAGTCATGATAAAACTTGAAAGTCATTTGGAAATCATGCATGAATGAAATAACAAACTTACTCAAGTATATGAACACTTGGGTGCACTGGTTAAAAATTAAGAAAATTAAAATTGTTATTTCATGTCAGTACCTTAAGAAAAAATATATCTTTCTGAACTCGGAGATACTGATCCCGTTTCTGGTGTGTTGCAATTGCTTTCTGAACAATGTGATCTAAATGAAGACTGTAAGGCTTAGGTCCTCGTTTCTTCATTTCATGGAAGCGTTTTAAGCAATTCAAAGCTGCACTGGCTCGCCTAATAAGAAAAAAAAAAAATCAACACTGTCAAAAGACTAACATAATTTAAAAACTAATGTGGGAAATTACTCAAAGCTTACAGAAATATTAGAGCATATTACTTAAAGTAAATGAATTACTTTTATTTGGAACCACAATATTGTGCCAAAGTATATACACACGCACAGAAAGAGAGAGAAAGAATAAGAAGCCACGACCACCGCTCATTTGTAGAAGAAACACTACTTACTCATCTTTTCTTCTAGAATGGTCACATTTTGTAGCATGCTTTTAAGAACTTCTACAAGTCAGAAAATTGTTGTGTTGTTGACAATTGTGAGTCACGGGGACCCCATGTACGCAAAGTACAACAGGGTGTGTTCAAGGTGCTACCTTTGTGGAGAAGCTCACTATGCCCTTCTTCCAACACCCCAAGGGGTGAGTCTGAACCACCAAACTTTCAGCTGGCTCTCTAGAAGCCCGGCCATTTGTGCTACAAAGGACTCTTCCAGAAACCTAGCTTCTTAAGGTTTGTTCTTAACCTATCTGAAACTGAATTTTGTTTATGGTAAGAGAATGAGATATAACTCCATAAGACGATAAGGATAAGTAACAATCCCTATTTTTCTCATTGATGGGATAAATGGAATTTCCTCATAAAGAGGATCTTTTAAAATTTATGTTTTATTTCTTGTAGTACATCTTGTAAGAATTTAGTAGCAATCAAGTCTCACCTTCAAAACTTTGCCAAATATGAAAGAGAATTAGAATTTTAAAACTCTGAGATGTGCTAAAACTAGTAAGCATTTACTCTTATCAATAAGATTACTTTACTGAGCTAAAAAGATTTCTTTTAAAAGATCATTTTATTGGGGGCTCTTACAGCTCATATAATTGATCCATACATCAACTGTATCAAGCATATTTGTACATATGCTGCCATCATTATTTTCTGAACATTTACTTCCTATTTGAGTGTTTGGTATCAGCTCCTTGAGCTAAAAGGATTTTTAAGAAGACCACAATCACTGGAAGGAGCCAGAGTGATGTTTGGGGATAAATGTTGGTCTGTTAACTGCAAGGTTGGTGGCTCAAACCCACCAGCTGCTCTGCAGGAGAAACATGAGGCTGTCTGCTCTAATAATGATTTACAGCTTTGGAAAACCTAAAGGTTGGTATGAGTTGGAATTGAATTAATGGCAATGGACTTGTTTTGGGTTGGTTATCACTGTAGTTTGGGGTTAAATGCAAATTCCTGACAAACCTTGAAATCTGTGACCATATTGAAACCCAGAGTTTATATTTACAGAAACCTGTTGGTAATAAGTGTTAGACTGCTAACCAAAAGATCAGAGCTTCCACGCCCCCAGATTTTCCCCCAAAAGATGAAGCAGCTGGCTTCCACAAAGATTTGTGGAAGTATTTCCCAAAGTGCGTGACATTGTTCCTTAGGAGGCGGCTCTCAAAAGTCCCTTCAAAAGGGACTATACTTTATCCTGGATTGTGGGTACAGTACAAATGTTTTTAATTACCAGGGGGGTGCTGGGTAATTTTTCTTTTTTCCTGAAAAAAGCTAATAAGCCAAGTAAGTTTTGTAACCTGTGCTTTACAGTATTAGAAACCCTATGAAGTAGTTCTACTCTGGCTTCTGTGAGAATCAACTCAATAGCTATGGATTCAGGCTCTACAAAGAGTATATATTTTCCATTGTCAAACTTCTCAAAAGCCCAGAGCTACTATTTTTTTTTTGTTGGTTTCTTTCTTTTCTTCAAGTCAGATATAACAACCTATGTCCCAAACCCTGTTTTCTGCCTTCCAGATAGAGCAGCAGTTGACCTTAGCAGAACACCTGCAGCCAATCGAAGCAAAGGCCGCCCCCCCACCAACCAGCCAATCAAAACCCATTACCAGTTTAAGCAGCCAATCAAATCAGACCTCTTCACATTTCCCCTCCACCCCCCAAAAAAGAGCCTAAATCAAGCACCAGGGCTCCAGGAGCTTCCTAAGAATAAGAAGCCTTCTCCGGAGGTACAACTTCATGGGTGGGGTGGGACAGGGGTGCCCAGAGCTACTATTATTGGCATACGTTTAGAGTTAGAATTTATGATTCCTAATACTCTGCTAAAAATACAATTTCAAAAAAATAAAAAATAAAATACAACTTCAGTCTGTTAAATAGCAGTATTTTTCACTGTCACCATTAAAATGAGTGTGTAACTAAACAGACTATTATTTATTTATGCACAGCTCTGTATTAAATAAAACGGATTAAACTTTTAAAACATATACTAAAAATTGTTAACAAAAGTCTATAGTTCCAAATAGCTAATAAACTGTTTTAGCAACATATCATTGATATACATAGATTGATTTTTCTGATAATGGACAAAAAGGCCCAAAAAAGACATCCCAAATTAAAACAAAATTTTACAATATAAAAAAGGATTCCTATTAGTATTTCTCAAAGTCCTCATTTTTGCATTTTATGTTATTAGCAATGAAATTCCAGCTCAGAGATCAATGTATAAAAGGGGGCTTCAAAGAGTTCATGGAAAAATTCCATTATCTTTCAGTTTCTCAAGTCCCCTCTTATCACCCGTATTGCTTTTAAATTCTATGCTTGTAATATCTCCTGCAGTACTAAAGAATGTACTGTGATGCCCATATTATGTCTATAGTATGGGTTATTAAATGTGAATATTTTAATTGCATATCTAAGAGAGTACATTGGTAATCTTTTGCTTTGTTACACTGAAATAATTTATAAACACATAAAAAAGGAATCTAAATTAGGGCTTATAGCATAAAATAGTCCAAAGAAGATTTTAATCAACACTTTGTGCTGTGTAAAAAACATGCTAAAAATGCGATTCTGCTGTTATATTTTTTAGCTTAAAACAGAAATGACTAGGTATTTTGTAGGAGCCCGGGTTATGTACTGGCTGCTAACTACAAAGTCTGCAGTTCAAAATCACCAGCTGCTCTTCTGGACAAAGAGGAGGTTTTTTACTCTTATGAATGTTTAGTCTTGGAAATCCAGAGAGGCAGTTGGTTCTACCCTGTCCTGTAGGGTCACTGTGAGTTGGAATCAACTTGATGGCAGTGAGTTTTGTGTTATTTTTCTGTAAGACTTTCCTAAACGGAATTTCAAGTGTAGCTTAATGATAGTTCTTTTGTTAAAAAAAAAAAGAGAGAGAGAGAAAAGGTCATTTATTTATGTGAATATAAAACATACGATTTGCAAATGCTGCTGAATCTCTGATACTTACAGTCTTTTTTCCTTGGGGATATCAAAGGATGCAGCCATATTCATTAGGGTTGGTAAACAGTGCAAATGATGGCTATGTGCATGAGGAAGAATTGTGTTTGCCTAAAATGAAACATCTCATATAAATTTACAGAAACAGAAATCTTTTGTTATGGGTTATCTAGCTATGACATTATAATTCAAGACTACTAAAGCCCCTCAATATGTCTTTTCCCCTAATGTATAGTTATTTACCATTTTTACCTTACCTACTTTCAACAAGGATGAGATATAAGAAATATAAAGGAAAAAAAAGAAATATAAAGATCATATTATACTAATAAAACTGCTCACTGTCAGAAAGCTTATCTGTTAATATCATATTATAATTGTTAAGTGGTACCCAATACAGTTCTAAATAATCTAAAAGAACTATCAAAACTTGGATCTGGTGCTCTCATGTTAAACAATGACATTTAAAATACTAGATGCAATATAATTAAATTATGAGGTGGTTTCTTACATTTACAAACTACCTTCTCGAAAGAGATTCGGCTCATATACTAAGAATTCTGAGATTTGCATGCGAAATAAAATCGCATCAGCATACATCTTCCTGACAATTAGAAAAAATTAATTAAATGTGAAAACCAAAAGACAGATGTATTTTAAGCAAGAAATTAACAATGTCATACTCTAGGTGATCGGCTTTTAACATAACAAGAGTAACATGCTGGTGTATGGGACAAAGGGAAAGATGAAATTTATAAAGCAGATCAAATTTATATAACAATTTTGAGTATGAATTTCTTACTGATAATGTTATCTTCAGAATTAAAATAAAAATAATCAGACCTGAAAGTCTGTAGAAAACTACTTAAGTATTTCACAGATTTGCCAAAGATATGAGCACAAAGCTAAAAAGGCAATTACATTAAAATCTGTTTAATTATTTTTATCTCATTCACACAGCTCACTAAGAGAAACAGAAAGACAAACGGGGGAAACCAGATCAAAATAACCTGGTTAAAAAAAACAAGCTATAACCTGGTTAAAAAAAACAAGCTATAATCTATAATTTTAAGATTTGCAATAGGGTTACTTCTTCCTTAACTTATTTAACGTGTCAATTTAATATTTTACTAGCCAGTAGGTGACCTAAGCCTATGAATTTCTATTGTGCAAACTTATAGAACCTCCACCATGGCCTGGTTTTCTCGAAGAGAATGGTCAGGCCACTTTCCTACCTCCTGCTTTCCGAAAGTCACCGATGTCATCAAATCATGCCATAACAAGATAGGGACTCCCACTTTCTAAATGTCAAACTACGAGTGTACAGAGTTCATGTTTTCCAACAAAATTGTATTCATACTTTTCCAAAGTGTCCTTAGTTCAGGCACTGACTGCCATGTATCCATTCCATTGCTAGCTGGTTGAACTAATATCTACAATTCTGTTATTTATGGCTTTTTTAGGACGGCTTTCTAAGAAAGCTTAATATTTATAAAGTAACACTGAAAGTAAATGGAAAAGTAAAAACTCACTCCTTTTTATTTTCTGTATTTATAAAACCAGCCAAAACACACAAAATTAACATATAAGCTTCAGGGCTTTTTGTAATGCAAAGCCTAACATCAATATACTGATTGATTTTTGGAAATAATTCAAACTTACACTGTTGACGTAACCTGTTTTGCAAATTAAAGCATTAACCGGATGAAATATATTACCCGAAGTTGCTAAACTTACCATATGTAAGAGCTCTCCTAAAAGGACGGTAGCTCTAACTGCAATATGGTTATCACTGTTAGTTATCACTTCAACCAAGCCCTTTGAAAATAAAAAGGTAGTGTCATTTTTGCACTACAATATAGAGGAATACATTTATGGATTAGATGTTGGCTGCTTTCAAACTACTGCATTAATGAAAATACAATGCAACACAAGACAATAAATTTCAAAAAGTTACCTCTAACAGTCCATTACGAATAAATGCGGAGAGAATCAATGCCAAATAATTATCCATGAGGTCTGGCCTGAAAATAAATACACACAGCACAGAAACCGTTTACATAATGCTTCATAGACTGGATAACTTAATATAAAAAATAGTGATTATACTTTTGAATTGGATTATTATAATTGAATTGGACCCATTTGTATTCATAAATTCTACCTCGATCGGGCACGATGGGGAAGAATAGTTTTTGCCTCAGCTGCTACAAAACCATCCGAGAGCCTCCAACTGTCTTGGAATCTACCTGGATCTACAAGTATTAAAGTTCAAATTAATGGAGTTAGAATATGGCACATCATTAAAACACTGGTAACACATGTAGAACCATGGACTAGTCAGCATTCACAGAACTTAGGTCTTGGTAAAACAAAAACAAAAGACTTAGGCACACAAAAAATTTTATTTATGCAACGTACACAGATCTAACTAACAGCTTTCAGTTAGTTCAGAGGACATCTTAGAGGAACTTAGCTAACATAAACAAGATATAGATTTGATACGGTCACTTGAGAAGTACACATTTTTTACTGTCTCTTGACCCACTTTCTTTACTATGACTACTCATTCATAAGAGCTACGATGATAGGAAGAAATATATATATTTTAATTTAAGAAATAATTTCTGAGTTGGGAACCCCCCTTTCCTCCATTAATTTCAGGCCATAATCTAGTAAGAATGAAAACTGATGGTCAATTGTTTGGCATTTTTCCTTTGAGGGATTCTGTTTCTTAGAATTCAATAGATAAATCCTCTTTAAAATGATACTATACAAGCAGACATGAACTCTAATACTTACCTACACTGAGCAGTGCTTCTATGAACTCTTCAGTCACAACAGGAAGAGGAAGACGAAATATATCATAAAGTACTTCAAGCAAACCTCGCTGTAAGGCAAATATATGCAGATCATTGATTCTTGTGAAATACATCTTCAATTTTTAAAATAAAAATTCTATCCCCAGAATAAAGAAAATAATAAAGCAGAATTACTGATACTTTGGAAAACGGTGGTTTTAGGCCTACATTTGGGAAGTGATAGCTACTGAAACTTACTAAACATGAAGCTAAGTAAAAAAAGTACTGCTACGAAATCATAGCAACCTTTATTAAACAGAGATATCCAAAGGACGAAGCCACTGGTTTTCAATATAGCTGCCATATAGGTATACACCTCTGACCTGTCCCTGAATTTGATGCATTTGAATTATGATGACAGCAAAGAATACTGAAAGTACCATAGACTGCCAGAATAAACAAATCTGTCTTGGAAGAAGTACAGCCAGAATGCTCCTTAGAAGTAAAGATAGTGTGATTTCTTCTGGTGTACAGTACTTTGAACACACAATCAGTAGAGATCAGTTCCTGGAAAAGGAAATTATGCTTGGGAAAGCAGAGAGGCGCTTCTGGCCTGTTTTCTAACCAATGCAATTGTCTATTTTCTTAAACCTTCTTAGTAACCCTCCACGATCATCCTGTTATTTGAGAAATCTTACCAAGTTTATGCCTTCAGGGTTCCAAAGAACAGGCACCGTAACCTTCTAAGCTGATCTTTCTGGCCCAGCAGATTCCCGCAGAAGGCAGTTTTTCATTGAAAACATCCCTACTTATAATCATAAAATCATCTTCAATGGCCTCTATTCTGCTTAAAAGACTGATAAAAAGATCAACCCTGAGATACGTGATTTTCTCACAACACTTTTGGCTAAGGTTTCCCTAACACTGAATATCCTGACCCATGTGAAGATTTCAATTCCAGCAGCTATCGCATTAGTGGTAATTCCACAGTCATCTTTTACCCCGTTCTGGACTTCAGCCAGTTTCTTCATTCATCTAGGTTGATGGCCTGCCCTCTCTTAGTTCATCTTTGAACTCTTCCTGGTTACTCTTCACACTCTTGACCAACTGAAAAGTTGTTTGTTCGTTTGTTTTTAAATTTACTATGGAACAGCAAACTTGCTGGAAAGTTTCAATGATTTGGGAAAATGTCCACTTACCTTCTGTTAAAAATTAGACAGTACCCCTGACCTCAAAATTGCTCTTTCAGGGCATTTTTTTAAGGCACCTCAACAAGAGTAAGATGTGTGTTTTAGTGAGAGAACTTTTCTTCAGTCAACCACTGATTACAGAGACATGTTTAAACACATTTTGCTTACAAAAAAAAAAAAACACAAAAAACTAACCATCCGTATATAAACTGGAAACCCAGTGGAAGTACTTTTTAAGTTGCACACTCATACATCAATTTATCTTTTCAACAATTTTTTATTATCCTTATTTTATACATGAAGAAACAGATTTGGAAGTTAAAAGTAATTTGCCCAACGTCATAAAGTTATAGATAATAAAGCCAGGAGTCTAACATTAGTTTGCTAAACTCCAAAAGGCTAAAAAGAAAGTAGTCAATAGAATTGCCTCATCTTTTGTTCCTTGTTCATCTCTCTTTCCTACATAACTAAATCCTTCATTTCTATCACCTAAATGCTTTTATTTCAGATTTTGATAAAGCAATATATCCTGGTTAAGATTTTCCTCCCAACTCCATGTTTGACTTATAGAAAGAAGCAAAAAATTGGCAATGAACATAATTTAAACAAAAATCTAAATAAGGGAAGAGTCATTTGAAAAATTTACTTTGTCTCTAAATTCAATTTTTAAAAACAGTTTAATACAAATTCCTATACACTGATGAATCTAGATTTATATCTAATCAATGAACATAAATATTAACAATTCACTTTTAATCAAACCTATCATTTCAAATATAAGGTCACAAAACAAAAACGCTAAGTTAGAAAGTGTAAGTTGCACAAAGTACTACATATACTTGTTGCTAAATATGATTTGTGTTTTGCTTAAACTTTTTACAATGAAAATATCTCCTGTAACAACTGGACATACCTTGCAGAGGGGGAGTGGGGAGGAAATGAGTCACTTAGGGTTCAGTATAGCAATAATGAAACCCACAACCTTCCTCTAGTTCTTAAAAGCTTCCTCCCCCCAACTACCATGACCCCAATTCAGCCTTGCAGACCTGGTTAGACCAGAGGATGCACCGCGGTACAGATGGGAACTGGAAATGTGGGGAATATAGGACAGATGAACCCCTCAGGACCAGCAGTGACAGTGGCGATACCGGGAGGGGGTAGAAAGGGGGAATCAATCACAAGGATCTACATATAACCTCCTCCCTGAGGGATGGGCAACATAAGGGTGGGTGAAGGGAGATGCCAGGCAGTGTAAGATAAGATATAATAATAATTTATAAATTATTTTGGGGAATGATGAGGGCAACAAATGTATAGGTGTGCTTTACACAATTGATCTATGTATTGTGATGAATTGTATGAGCGCAATAAAATGATTGAAAAAAAAAATATATATATATATATAATAATAAAAAGAAAATGTCTCCTGTAACGTGTGCATAATAAATTTAAATGGTAAAGTTTAATGAATCAAGAATAACTTCCAATTTTCTAACCCAATTTTTAATACAGCCATCACACTGAACAGAATTTAAAATTATTCAAATCATAGTGAGTGTTCCACTAAGTATTCAGTATTTTTTAAAAGCTATATGATACAGTTTAAAACTTCTGAGACAAAAGTATCACTTGAATTAATTTTTCTATACTTTTTATTTAAAAGAAATTAATTGCCTTAGTCCAGAAATAACATGTCATAATATTTTTTTGCCTACCCGTATTTCCATATTTGGTATGCAGAGTACTCCAATTAGAGACTGTATACCAGAATTTCCAGGTTTACATAAATTAATAATACCTAAAAAGAATAAAATGAAAAATCATTGAGTTGAATTTAAAAACAAAAATTTCAATAAAGTTGCACCCATAAATATAGAAGTTGTGAAATTTTTAAGTATATATTATAATTATTATTTGGTTAACATAATTTCAAACACTGTGTATTTCCTTACATATTAGATTTATTTACTCACTAATTTCATCAAATAAATTCCTTTGTCTCCTTGTTTTATCTCCACAAATCTACTGACCAAAGCTCCTTAGTTTGCCAATTAATTCCCTGGAGTGAAAACTTGCGGGAACAAGACAGTGATCTCTTTCCCTGGCTTAATGCCCCCATAGCCTAGTTTTGAAACCTTTTGCTTGATAAAAAGTTTAGCTAAAAATTTTATTAAGCATGCAGAGTAGTATAAATGAACAGACTTAAAGATAGATGAGATGAATCAGTAATATTTTGGGAGTAGAATTAATTTAAAATACATAAGAAAATGTCACAAAAGATATACAAATAGCAATAAGCACACATAAAGTATTCAATATCACTTGTTCATCATAGAAATACAAATTACATTTATAATGAGCTAACTGCCACAAATGCGAGAAGAGCTAAAATTAAAGTGTGGCAATACCAAATGCTAGAGAAAAAATAAAGTAGCCAGAATTCCCATGAATTGTTCAGGGGTACAATTATTTTGGGAGAAAGTTTGGCAGTTTCTTCTAAAATCAAGTATTCAGCAACCCTAACCTAGTAATTTCACTTGGGTAGGTGCCTCCGCAAAGTGAAAGTGTACATCCGTAGACAGCTCAGAGTAGCTTTTATTTAGAATAGTCACAAAGCTGCCAATTGCTCAGGTTACCCAACTGGATGAGACCTAAGCAAACCGCTATGCTTACCCACTGGAATACTACTTGGCAATAAAAAGGAACACATTTCTTATACAGCAATATGAACCAATGTCAAAATCATGCTGAAGAAAAAAGGTCTGCAATGCCATTTAAATAAAGCTCTTAAACTGGCAAAACTGATCTACGGTGAACAAAATCAAAGCAGCAGTTGCTTCCAGGGATCCTAGTGTAACTGGGAAGGGGCATAAAGCAACTTTCCAAAGTGATGGTAACGGTCAGTATCTCAGAAGGCTGAATACACATGTAAACACTTGTCAAGTTCTATACTCCAGATGTGTACACCTCACTGTATTTAAATTTCATCTTAAACAACACCAACACCAACAACACCCTTACTAGGAAATGCATTAGATAAGAATATGATGAATAGAGGAGTGGGCAGGTAGATAGGCAAGATATATAATTGTTTATCCAGGGAACTTATCTACTATTGGGGAAATAATGTCTGTGCCACACAACAAAACAAAACAATCTTCAAAGATCTGGTCTGTAATGCTGTTATATCTCTTAGTGCAGAAAGGGTATAAGACTATCAACCTTCTAAGTTTCTAATGAGGGAGCAATGTTTAGTGGCATCAGGAAATGTCAAAGTAAAGAAAGAGACTGTCAGAGATTAGAGAGACAGTGGCAGGCAGAAAGCTGACAAAGTAGATAATGAAGTGATATTCTGGTGGCTAAAGCACAATGGGGTCCTTGGTTGTGTAGTGGCTACATGCTGGGCTGTGATCCACAAGGTTGTCAGTTCAAAACCACCAGTTGCTCCTTGGGAGACAGACTGAGACTTTCCACTCCTGTAAACAGTTCCAATCTTGGACATTCACAGAGGCAGTTCTACCATGCCCTAAAGAATTGGCATCGACTCGAAGCATTGAGTTTGAGCTTTGAAGCAGAATGGAAAAAAATTTTTTTAAGAAGGTCTGAAACTACTCCAATGGCAAGGAAGTTGACTGATGGTAAAGAGGTATGACAATAAAGCAAGTTCTTAAGCAAGGGCATTGAAGGTTAGACTTGGCAGAGGATCGAATTGTTTTCTATCCTGAAAGAGTATGATGTGGGAGGTGGATGATGAAACAACAGAGGAATATGTTTCCTATGGTTGTCTATTAGGGCAGAAGTAGGGAGATGTGAAATATAAGATAGAAGAGCCCCGGTGGCTGTATAGGTTTAAGTGCTGGGCTGCAGTTCAGACTCACCAACCAATCTACAAGAGAAAGATGAGGCTATCTGCTCCTGTAAATATTTCGCCTCTGAAACCTAAAGGAGGAGTTCTACTCTATCCTACATTGAGTAGCTATAAATTGGAATCTATGTGGTGGCACGGGTTTGGGTTGGTTTGGGAAAGAGGGCAGAGCAAGTCCCTGGAAAAATACTGAGTAGAACACAAGTCTATGGGCAGAATAGAATTTGTATATAAAAGGTTACGATCACTCAAATATTTAAATATTTTTTCTGCTTACTTGTATTCTTAATTTTTTAATTGCTCAGTGTTGTGCAGCCAATTATTTCACATGGCTTTTCTGGTGACTGTCTTTGCAACTTCTAACATGTGACCATGAGGACCTTCCAAACAGGGCATATGGAACTTTAATAGTAGGACTGGTCAATTTTGCCATCCTGCCAGTACAATGACTTACGTTAGAAACATGAAGTATCATCTCACTAGCATGAAGAAAGAAGAGCCCTGAATGAGTGCATTCTAAGGACTCTTGAGATCCCTGCACTAAACCTCCCGATTCCAGGAGATAGAGTTGTGACAGCACAGAGAAGCTGTCGAGCAGAAGACAGACAAGTGGGTTTCCCAGGCCCGCAGTAAAACTGAGTGCCCCCAGGCAGGAATGCTGCCAGCAGAGTGAAATGCCTCCATGCACATTATTTGGGGAAACTAGGTTTCTGGAGCAATGGAGCGCAGTACCTTCATAGCTGAGGACTAGAGAGAGGTTTGCTTACAGGCATGGCTAAGGAATGTTCCTAAAGGGAAGAACTATATCCCGAGCATTTCTGATACTGAATTCTTACTTGTTAATTTCTGTGAGTTTTGTTCAGCAACTGTGATGACTAAGAAACACGCACGAGAAGTAAAGAGTACTATGTAATAAAGTTGGAAGAGTGCAGGTAGGTCTGAGCGCCATCTCATAGGCATCATCCTGGGGCTGATGGTGATCTTGGTTTTCTTTCTTCCTTGTGAAGTGAGAGGTCAGATGTGGTCCTAGCTACATTTTTACATTCAGTGACGTTTTGCAAATAGTCAATAAATATACACGGGAGCTTCAACGTGTTCATGGAAAAGTAAAATTAAGAGATAATAGAATTTTTTCATGAGTGTTTTATAGTTCCCATGTATAGACTAGGTGTTACAATAACAAACTTTAATCAGCTTATTTTACTAATTTTGGCTGAATACCTCTGGCTTAATAACATATAAGTTAAGATTAGATTAATAAAATTAATTAATAAGTCATGTTAAAATAACATTTTTTAATTTAAATTTTAAATTCAACACAATACAGATTTTCCTTAGTGCTTAAAGCAATGCAGAATAACTTACCTGCCCAGGACCGAAATGTTGCTATGATTCCCATTTTACTGGCTAGAAATCGTGCTTCTCTGTCTTCTCTGTTTAAGGGGAGAGAAGAAAAAAAATCAAGTTAAGTAAAAGTGGAGCTTTTCCAAGTACTACCTATCAGAATACATGTTAACTTAATGTTTAAATATACAAAAATTGAAAAAATATTAAAAAAGAAAGTCCAGCTCTACCTCAAAACAAACTACATAACTATACACTTCCAACTTAACACTGACAATAGTTTAAGATAACTTATAAATGCCCATTTTCAGTTCTACATTCCCTTTTTCTGAAGATTATTCTTAGATGGCTCATTAACACCTCTAATTGAGCATTAGGGAACATTAGTTAGCATAATCAACATCCCTGTACCAAAGTTGCCCTTTAGCAAAGAAAATTAGTGCATAAATCTCACACTTTAAACACATACACTTACACTACTTCTATCCAAAAACTTACTTGAGCATTCCCAAGAAGCTCATATAATCAGAGAAATCTTACTAATAATTAGATATGGCTAATATCACTAGCTTCTTTCTTGCTTGAAGATTGTGTATGCAAACATCACACTTGCTCCTCCCCATGCACTATTTATGAGTAGTGATTAAACAGAGTTATTTATATTCATGAAACATTCTCCTTGTGGCACTTATGTGGAAAAAGTGAGAATCAGGCACCTGTGTGATCTACTGCTCATTTTCTTTAAAAGGTGTGGCAAAATAGGTTAATTTTATAATAATTCATTCTCTTATTACAGTATTTGACATTATTTTCAAGTCACTCATTTCTTTTCTTGGCCATGTTGTTTTTAGGGATCGACCAGTTTCGACTTAAAGCAACCCTGCGGTACGTCACAATGAAACCGTGTCCTTCCAGTTCTGTACCATCTTCACAATGTTTTATTGTTTGAGCCCACTGTTGCAGCCTTTGTGGCATTATGTTAAGGATCTTCTCTCTTATTGACCTTGTACTTTACCAGGCACAATGTTCTTCTCCAGTCTCACCATCTTTCTTTCTACAAAGACACTTGGTGCCCCTGTCCAATACTGATTTATAACTGTCCAATACTGATTTATTTGTTCTCCTGCCAGTCCTTGGGATATTCAATATCCTTCATGAACACTATAATTCAAAGACTGAATTCTTTCATCTACTTTATTCACTGTCCAATCTTCACATGCATATGAGGTGAATGAAAATACAATGGCTGGATCAGCTACACCTTACTCCTCAAATTATCTTTGCTTTTAAACATACATACACACATATATAAATTTCACACTGGGCAATGTTTTGCTTGATGAGCAAAAGTTGCCCTTGCTTCTTCTTGAGTAGATGTCTTGGAAAACCCATTTAAGGACGATCTCTTCGTTCAACTCAATGAAGCCTATATCAAGTACACTGAGGCTACATTTCTGGATCAGATAATGCCAATTTGAGCCCCCAGACTGTGGCAGGATATTTGTGGTGGCTCCAGTAGAGCATCTGGCTTCGAGACGTACCAAGGCAAAAATCAAAAGGCCACTTTAACGAGGTCTTTTGTAGCATAGTTGCTCAACACCATACAGATTGCCTGATAAACCTGTCTGCTGCTCCAGGAGTGCTGACTCAGAATCCAAGTAAAAGGAAATCCTTGATACTTGTAATGTTTTCTCCCTTTATAGTACTGATTAGTCCAATTTAAGGATTTTTGCTTTCCTTATTTTGAGGTGTAATTCATACTGAAGGTCAGAGTCTTTGACCCTCATTAGCTAGTGCAAAAAATCCTCCTTTACTCTCAGCCAGCAAGATTATGCTTGGTTGTTACTGAAACTTTCTCCAATCCCACTGCTGCATACAGTGCAGTCTCTCACATTATTTGCTTAATATATAAATTCTGTTCAGTATGGTGAAAGGATACAGCCGATACATAACTTTTCTGATGCAGTATCTCCTTGTTCTACTAGGATGTCTGCTTCTTGGTCCATGAACAGGGGCCGCAGGAACACAATCAAGTGCTCCAGAGTTCCCATTCCTCCAGCGTTATCGATCATCTATTCTCCACATTGTTTAATGCTTTTGCAAAGTCAATAAAACACAGGTAAACTGCTTGTGGTACCAATAATGAATCTGACCAGAATCTCAGGTAATTTCCTGCCAATACCATTTTGAGTCATCTTCAGCAATATTTTACTTGAATGTAGTATTAATGATAGTTTGATAGTTTCCATATTCTGTTGGATCTACTGTCTTTGGAATGAGCATACAAATTTTCAGTTCCAGTCAGTTGGCCAGGTGGATTCTAGCTTGCAATTTCTTGGCATAGAATTGAGGAGTGTTTACAGTACTCCATTTTATAGGCAGTCCCTACATTACAAATTAGTTCTGTTCCTAAATTTGCCTTTAAGTGTCTATAGAAGTGAAATTTATAAACATATATAAAGCATACCAGTTAGGTATCGTTTGTTATCTAACCCTAACTAACAGCAGCTCATCAAATGTTTGTCTTAGTATATAGTACAGAGTGTATACAACCATGTATGAAAATCATGGACAAGGCTCATAGCTACACTAAAATATCTTCAACATAATATGGTAAACAAAATGTTTTGATAGTGTTATACAGTAGTTTGCTATAATGAACCTTTATATGTTGTCAAAAGAGCCTATGGCATGAGCTAGGCATTGAGCTGCTAACCTCAAGGTCCACAGTTCACATTTATCAGTCACTCCAAGTGAGAAAGATGAGGCTGTCTGCTTTCATAAAGATTTAGTCTCTGAAACCCAGTTCAGCAGCCGCACTCTGTCCTATAGGCTGCATGAGTCAGAATCAGCCTAGGGGCAGTGGGCTTGGTTTGTTTGGGATTCTGCCAGCAGCACAGGCATTAAGGACACTCTGGTTCAGCCACTGGAACTTCTTACCTCTTAAGCCTAGGTTTACCCTCCCCTTCTTTCCCAGGAGGCTGGCACCTGGTTCGGATAGCATGGAAAGGACCTGAGGCATTGACACAGTAAAAGTCCCTGTGCCAACACCCACCTGTGGACACTGCTCCATCAGAATGGTATGGAGCAAAACTGGGTCCAAGCCTACAGCTCTCTGTCCAGCCTGGGGCCTGCCAACCCCAGAGGGAGCTTGTGGGCTGCAGGGTCACAATACAGGTACTGTGTCTCTGCTAGCTCCACATGTCCCAAACCTTGCCATTGCCTCTGGGCTCAATGTGGGGAGGGCACCATGGGACCTAAGGCGAGTTGTGTGAAGGAGCTCCCATTAGTGGCTGTGTGTCAAGTCCAGGGCAAGGTAGGATGCCACTAGACTCCTTATAGCACATTGTCTCTGCTTACGCTCATGGAAAACAGGCTTGGATTGGTTCGTAATTATGGGTTGTACCTAAGCCAGATGTCCTTAATCCACAGAATGCCGGCTAATAGGGCATGATAGTAAATTCATAGTGATGGATGTAATTATAAGTATGGGGTGTTGTCTAAAAATATATATATGGGACGATTAACTTTAATTCAGAATAAATATGGAAACAAATCAATCTTTCTGTTTCACAATATTGCCAAATTAGTGAGGAATTTAAAAAAATCAATTAAAATAAGTGAAGGCAATCCAACAACCTGATTGAAAAAAATACCTCATATCATATTTATTGGAATGGTATAATTTGTAAAATGTTCATATGGGCATGATTTGATCCCTAGATCATTTTTAATTAAAATTAAGCTCTTTATTTATTCTTTCTTATTATTTCAATTTTTTAGTCCTTCAATGTTAATTATGCTAAAGGAAAACAAATAGAAAAATAAAAATCTAGGTTTCCACTGGCTTACATTGTTTTAAAAAGATAAGTTAATTGTAAAGGATTTAGTTTGCCAAAGGTTAGTAGTACTTTTAAAAACCAGTTTATTAATTATGATAGCTATACTGAATAATACCATGAAATATAAAATCTATGTAAAGTTAGGCCTGGTAGGGCTTGATCAAGGACAATGTAATTGAGAGGAATTACTGATACCCAAATGAAGGCTGAACATGATAGTGGGATAAGAGGAAAGTAAAAGAAAAGAGAGGAAAGAGCTAGGAGGCAAAGGGCATTTATAGAGGTCTAAACACAGGCATGTACATATGTAAATATATTTATATATAATGATGGGGAAATAGATCTAAGTGCATATATTATAGATTTAGTATTAAGGTAGCAGATGGACATTGGGCCTCCACTCAAGTATTCCCTGAATGCAACAACATTTTGTTCTATTAAACTGGCATTTCATGATGCTCACCGTCCCCACATGATCACTGAAGACAAAGGAGGTACATAAGCAAATGTGGTGAAGAAAGCTGATGGTGCCCGGCTATCAAAAGACATAGCATCTGGGATCTTAAAGGCTTGGAGATAAACAAGTGGCCATCTAGCCGAGAAGCAACAAAGCCCCCATAGAAGAAGCACGCCAGCCTGTATGATCACGAGGTGTTGATAGGATCAGGCATCAGGCATCAAAGAATAAAAAATCCTATCATTGTGAATGAGGGGGAGTGTGGAGTGGGGAATCAAACCCCATCTGTAGACAACTGGACCTCCCCTTACTGAAGGATCACAGGGAGGAGATGAGCCAGTTAGGGGGTAGTATAGCACCGATGAAACATACAACTTTTCTCTAGTTTTTTAATGCTTCCTCTCCCCTCCCCCACCATCATGATCTCAATTCTGCCTTACAAATTCGGCTACACCAGAGCATATACACTGATACAGGTAACAGCTGGAAACACAGGGAATCCAGGACAGGTAAAGCCCTTAGACAAATAATGAGAGTAGTGATACCAGGAGGGTAAGGGAAAGGTAGGGGGCGAAAAGGGGAACTGATCACAATGATCTATATATAAAACCTTCTCCCTGGTGGACAGACAACAGAAAAGTGGATGAAGGGAGACATCGGACAGTGCAAGCTTTGAAAATATATTTATAAATTATCAAGGGTTCGTGAGGGAGGAAGATAAATGAAGAGCTGACACCAAGGTCTCAAGTAGAAAGAAAATGGTTTGAGAATGATGATGGCAGCAAATGTACAAATGTGCGTGACACAATGTATGTACAGCTTGTGAAAAGAGGTGTACGAGCCCCCAATAAAATGACTTAAAACATTAATAAATAATCTGTGTGAAGTCACTTTTCTCTGGCTCTGCATGTAGTCAGTTACATCTAGCATCTTTAATGTCGATACACACCGTCAATGGACTAGGAACAGGCGGTACTTACTTGAGCTGTCCTTCAGCTGTATCTGGACTGTGCCTGTAGTGAAAATCAGTATAAGGTGCTAATATTCGCTAATAAAAAAAAAAAGAAAAAAGTCCTTATTATAAAAGGCATCCTTCAAATAATACTAACAGTAACTTCAATAAGGTAAAATAATCCCACTTCTCATCTTTAATTGGGTTTACATCTTAAGAGACCATCTTTTTAAAAACCATTATAGAAATCTGGGGCAACTTTTTCATTGTACAAAAGGCGTTTTGAACTTTTCACCTGAGGCATTATATACACAAAGTTGTACATAATTCAGAGTTGATGTTTGTAGATTTCCTCAAACTACACACTTGAGCACCAGCTCCAGTTGAATAAATGTTATCAATATCCTCAAAGACCCTCTTACAACTAATCCGTTTTCAGTCACTATCCTCAAACAAGCTACCCGATCTTCTAACATCATAAATTAACTTTGCCTATTTTTTAACAATGAAATCGTATAACAAAACCAATTTATTTTTGTAATTTGACCCTTGCTAAATTCACTCATCAATTTAGAACTTTAGAACCACTGTGCATGTTCAGCCAAACTCTTGACAAATACATTATTGTGGTAATACATCGACATATAATTTTAAATATATAAGGCATTACTATATTGTTTTTAACATTCAGCATCCTTTTCCGTTTACTCGTAGGTCTACTTTCTCTGGAGCTTTTCATCCCTTCCCAAGTTCCCTTGCCTCTATCTAATGGGTTCTTTCTGTCGAAGGACTGAAGAGACCTTATTTCTAAGGAGCAGTCCAGCCGCACCTCTCCCACAACAGATTTGTCTGTACTTCTAGCGGTCCTGAGTATTTTCAACATCCTTGACCAACACCGTAATTCACACGCATCAATTCTTCTTCAATCTTCCTGATTAGTCTCCCAGCTTTCACATGAAACCATTGAAAATACCATGCCATGAGCTAGGCAGGCACGCCTTAGTCCTTAAGGTGATACTTCTGCTTTTTAATACTGAAGAGTTATTTTGCAGTCAATCTGCCCAATGCAACAACACATCCTTTGATTTATTGACTGCTGTTCCCACGGATACTGACTGCTGACTGTGTATCGAAGTAAAATGAAACCCTCTGACATCATTTACCATGATGTCGCTTACTTGTCCATTTGTGAGAACTTTTGTTTTGTGTTCAAGGGTAATTCAAAGTACAGGCTTATTGTCTTTTGGTCTTCATCAGAGACCTGATTCTGAATTCTTCATACAGTTCAGCATTATATGCCGTTTTGCTTGGATTACCTTTTCTGGAGCTTTCGGAGCTCACGAATATGAACTTGCATGAGTTTACGAAGCAAGCTTGGCCATGGCCTCTTTAGTAACTGCTTTCATCTATTTCTCTGTCCTACCCCCAAATGGTAATTCAGTGCATCCGTTTGCCCTTTTCTTATTTATCCCCTTCTCTCTTTTAATTTCTCTGTGCTTTACTCTGGATAATTTTATTCGCCTTTGTAAGAATGGAATGGGGGCAGTGTCTGACCTCCTGTTACTTGAAAGTAGAACCCAAATACCATTAGCCACAGACTGATTCTTATGAGGGAAAAAGGTCAGACACGTCTCCACCTGCTAACCTCCTTTACCAATTCTGGTACTAACTGTCCCTCCCAAGGCACTCCCTACTTCTCTGCTGGATTTGATAATTCATTGTAATGACCACATGAACTCACAGACAATACTCATGATTACGGGGCTTACTAAGGGTATTACAGGATACATTCAATTCAGGATCAGAAATGTTCAAGATACAGTTTATCCAGCCAGGCATGACTTCCTCTGGTCCTCACCTTCTCGACCATATGCCCCTTGGTCCCTGCCTTGCTCCACCCAGTGTTACCTAGCTCTCTTAGTATTGCCAAAAGGGACCCTAATCTCCTGCAATCCTCAGTCAGAAGGTGCTCAACTTGGTTCTGTGGGTTGACAAACCTAATTTCCCTGATGAAGGGCCTGGGGGCGCTCCGTTTCTGGAAGGCTTTCTCCCTCCGAGCCACATGCTCTTGGTGTTGCAGCTGTTACTTTCCAGACACATGTCTACTTTCACTGATCTCCATCTCCGAAGTGAAGAGGCTCAACATACAGAAACCCTAGGGTCCTGAGGATGTGCTGCACTTCTGCCTCTTCTTTCTTGACGGTATTAAGCCCCGGCTGCCCCACCCTGCCCTACCCATACCTGCTCCTGAGATGAATTGTTTTCTATCCAATAGGAGGGCAAAATCAACCAACTCCCAAATTAGAGTTCCAAGTTTTTACAATCACAAATACCTAGTTAACAATCACTCACAACTGAATCATATAATCCTGTCTAAATCTTTTCTCATCTTCTTACTCAAAACAGTAGAAATACACAAATTTGCAGGATCTCATGCAATCTTAGTGAGAATTACAAAGATTGTTGCTTGAAGAGCTTTATCAAGGAAGTCACTGCACCCCACTGACTTCCTTCCAGTTTACTGAGGGTCTCTTCTCGTCTAAGGTGACTGCTTAATTTCACTAAGTTTTGAATTTCAGATATTACTCTTTTATTAGTAAAATTTTCCTTGGATTCTTATACATTTCAATTTTCCATTACCCTATTATTTTTTCTTCCTCTTTTCCTGAACACATTAATCTGGCTAGTTAGTGGGTCACTTTCTATAGAATTCTTTCTTGAAAGGGTATTGGGGAGGAGACGAGACAGTCAGGGTGCGATGTAGCAACGATGACGCATACAACTTTTCCTCTAGTGCCTAAATGCGTCCTCACCTCCCACTATCATGATCCCAATTCTACCTCACAAATCCGGCTAGACCAGAGGATGTACACTGGTAGAGATAGGAACTGGAAACACAGGGACTCCAGGAGAGATGATCCTTCAGGACCAGTGGTGAGAGTGGCAATACCGGGAGAGTGGAGGGACGGTGGGTTGGAAAGGGGGAACCGATTATAAGGATCTACATGTGACCTCCTCCCTGGGGGATGGACAACAGAAAAGTGAGTGAAGGGAGACGTCAGACAGTGCAAGATATGACAAAATAATAATTTATAAACTATCAAGGGTTCATGAGGGAGTGGAGAGCGGGGAGGGAAAAATGAGGAGCTAATGCCAGGGGCTTAGGTGGAGAGCAAATGTTTTGAGGATGAGGGCAATGAATGTACAAATGTGCTTTACACAATTGATGTATGTATGGATTGTGATAAGAGTTGTATGAGCCCCTAATAAAATGATTTAAAAAATAAGAATGGTTTCTTGAGGGGGTAGGAGTTTAGTAATAAGTTTCTGTTGTTAGGTATCCTAGAGTTGGTTATGACTCATAGCGACTGTATGTACAACAGAGCTATCCTCACAATTGTTATGTTTATACCTGGTCTTTTTCTATTAACAAATTTTTGCTTGAATGCTAGACTTCATAAATTAAAAAAGAAAACCAACGAGTTCCAAATAATGTTATCTTCCACTAGAGATTGTTTGTTCTTCTTTCCACAAGACAGGCAAGCAAATAAAGGCGGTCGATCATCTTATTCTCGTCAGAAAATAAGTGCACCCACCCCGGAAGTAATTCTGGTAAGACTAAGACTACCTCTGGTCTCCTCAAGTTTTTAATGTTTGCCATCCCCCTGTACGTCCAAGAGAGAGATTACGGAGTATTTTACTCTTTAGTAGTAAGATTTGTTCTTTCCTACACATTTCAACACATGTTCAGAATTTAGAAAAGGTCACTTAAGAGATTAGCCATGACATATTCAATTATGTCACTTTAGCACCATCAAGTTTTCAAAAGCTCTTCCTGGGCTATCTTATCGCAGGGAAGCCCTTGCAGTATCCTCAGCTTCTGGGTTTGAATCAGCAAGGATAGCCAGGGGCAAAAAAGCACTTGTAGCCAATCAGAGCAGTGTAACTATTCTTTGAAGGCCTTTCAACCCCAGCCCATGGACCATCCTCCTGGGACACCTGTACTCTGTGCCTGGGAGACTACAGCACATATTGCACTGAGCTTTCCCGAGGTTCAGACATACAACTCTTACCCTGCATAACATATTTCAGCAAAAGTCAGAAGGGGCAAATGAGAACCATGCCAAGCACTCTTCATTCCTGTAGGGCGGTTCCTATAATCTTTCTCCACTGCCCAACGCTCTGCAGGTGCCCCAAGGACAACTGTGAATCTTCTCCACAATTCTGATTTTCTTCTCTGAATTTCCCTAAGATCCTCATTGCTTTCCCAAGTCTATTATGGAGCATTTTCTGACTTGCAGTGATCCAAAATGTATCCAAGTAGAACAAGGAGGGGCATCAGTTTGTGGGAAAATTCCATTATCTCTTCATTCCACTTTTCCATATGTATTTTATAGGATTTTCAATGGTCGTTTTTTTTTGGAGATGCCTTTCAGTTAGCAAATGAGCACATTAACCATATGAATCCCGCAGGGACTCCTTGTTTGAAAGACACACAGGGAATTTCCAAGAGTTGAATTAAAAGACAGTGGAATTTTTTTCAGGAACTTTTTGAAGCTCTTTCATATAATTTTCAGTTAGTTAATGATACATTAGGCTCAGGTGATGAAATAAAAGATTATTAAGTAATAGCCAAGACATGAACCACGTAAGTACTCTATACGGAGGAGCATATTATGTAAAGCACCTGGAATACTACTTAACTCTTTGTAAGTTTTACCTAAGTGTTAGCTGCTCCAACAACTACTACTTTATTATTACTGTATTTTTTCTTCATCACTTTTCTTTGAGGTAAGAATCATGACTTTCGTTTTACCTATAAAGAACATGGATCCAAGAGAGACCAACGTCATAAAATTAATATGTTGTAGAGCAAAACCAAGAACAAACAGACGAACAAACAAAACCCCCAAGATCTACAGGGCCCAAAGTCAAGGCTCTCATTTCTGCTACTTGGCAATCTTATTAAGATAAAAGGAAGCAACGGCTGTGATTCTAAAGGAAAAGTCATCAGTCTACTTAAAAAGTCTACCATAATCTTTGAGGTTTTTTCATTTATATAAAAGCTTTACTAATCTGCCACACACTTATATGGGAACAAAAGAAAGAACTGTTACATATTACGTATCTTCTCAGTGCAATTATCTATCCAACTTTAAAATTAGAAATTTACTTGATAAAGAAAATCTAAACATACACTTAAAAGGTTTTTTGAAAATTGTGTATTTCCTACAACTACCATAAATTACACATTTGAAACCACTTATTAAAAAGAATATTGTATTTAATTGATTCATTAATGCTATAAGCTTTTGTCAATTTTACAATTCCAAATTGTCCTATTGCACTAATAAAATCAGTAATATATAACCTTTAAGACAGGTGTCATAAAAGGCTTTTCGTATAAAATTAGAGAACAAAAATCCTTGTGTACCTTCCATAATTCCAGATACAAACCCAAAGAAATTCTTGATTTAAACCTATCCTGAACGTGATATGCAATAACACACTCCCACAAATCAAGTGAAAGATTAGTCTGTGATGACTGTTCCACCCTCAGTAAAGCTTTTCAGAAAGATGAGTATACAACAGCTTTTAACATTAGACTGACTGTAAACAGTTTTGTTTGAATTAATGAAAAAGTTATAATGTGAAGTATTTTTAAAATATAAGTATTCTCTTTCTATTATAAAAGGTAATCCCAGGTGCTAATAAAGTGCTTCCACATTTAGGGAATTTTAGTCTGGCTTAATGAACAGTGAGTAAGTAGCAGGGTTATTAACACACAATGTACTAAAGCCCTTAAAACAGTTTTCTTAAATAGGAAAATGCCTTCTATAATTTGTACTCTAATTTGCTTAGCAACATTTTTATACATGAGAAAATAAACTACAGTTTACACACTGATAAAATATTCTACAGGACATTATTAGACTAAACTGCATGAACTATAAAATATTGCAGGGAATAACCCAGTTTCAGTTAGTTTTGATAATGCTATGCTACATTTATTATTTTTTTTAATTTCAAAGACTATATATTTAAAGTCATATTTTAAAACTGAAAAGAATATGAAGTTCCTACCTCTAATTCTACATCAGCTCTCACATATTGCCGGGTCTTTGGATGATTAAGAAGGTGTAAAATTGTAGTAATGAGGGCCTCATTTATTCGACTTAATTGGCAATCAATCACATTTTTTAAGATGGTATTTAGTCCACCTCGAAGGGCCACCACCTCTGGATTCTGAAGTGCTAAAATAAAAGAGAAAAAACTTAAATATTATATTGGGGAGAATTAATAAAACATCATCAGAATTCTAGGCTTTTCCATTAAAATTCAGTTTCCTTTCTGACTGAAAAACTTTCTGGATAAAGTGAATTTATTAAGAAGTTGCTGCATTATTTCCCCAATTTATTTAATGCACTTGAATTATTTTGTAACATTTATAAAGCAGGGATTACCCAAATTCAGAGTTGTTAAGTCAATTCCAACATAAATTGGTCCTATCGGCTAGAGTAGAACTGCTCCACAGAGCTCTTCCAAGGCTGTGGATCTTTATGGAAGCAGACTGCTTTCTCAGTGGAGCAGTTGGTGGTAGGAACTGTCAAAGGCTTTGTGGTGAGGAGTCCAATGCTTTAACCCACTGGTTCTCCACTGTCCTAATGCCGCGACCCTTTCATACAGTTCCTCATGTTGCGGCGAACCCTTACAACCAGAAAATTACTTTCATTGCTACTTCATAACTGTAATTTTGCTACCGTTATGAATTGGGCGACCCCTGTGAAAGGGTCACTCAACCCCCCCAAAGGGGTCGCGACCCACAGGTTGAGAAATGCTGCTATCCAATAAGCTACCCAAGACCCTAAGCTACCCAAAGCAAGGATAATTAACCCTGTGTCTGTTTCACCCCTTTTACCTGACATCTAACTTGACTTTAAATTTGTTCTAAATTGGAATATTTTACTTCTCTATCTTTACTGTTATGATATGCACCCACTTTAATCATGATTTTAAGCTTGAAACTCTTTTACTCCCTTAGGCATTTCCTTCTGTGCCTATGTGTATATTTTAAAAGAGTGCATAATTGACATTTCTTTTTTTACCCAGTCAGGAAATTGAGAATGGTTTAAGATAATCAATTTCATTTACATGTCAAATGTTTGATCAATCATCTCAGCATGCTTCCTAAAATGACTGTTGCACTTTTTATGTAAACTTGTTTTCAGTATCATGGTCTACAACTCCATAAACTTTTAATTTTTCAATCTCTTAGTGGCTAGATTTATTTTCTTTTTAAATCTGAGAACATCTTCCTTTTACCCTCCATTTACTCTTTTACAAAATACTTTCAAAGTTAGCGCTCTCTTGCATATTCTTTGAGCAAAATTTCAAAATTCTGTGTCTTTTGTTTTATCTAAATTAATATATAACTGCCAACAGTACAATGATCTTAATGCTGACGGTAAATACATGGCACTTCCTTGTAACCAATGCCCTGGCCAGGACACAGCAGTTTTTTCACTTTCCAAAGGTGCCATCTCCTTCCATCACACAGGCAATCACTACACTGATTTCTCCATTCAGATTAGTTATGCCATTAAGAGACTGCATTCGAAAATTGGAAACCAGAATTATCAACCTCAAACACTTAAAATTCTTTAAATTAAGTTTATATGCTGCATATAATTAATTTTTGTTTGACAAATAATATTACCTTTTCTATTGTATTTACTGAATACTACAGAAAACAAAAGAAACCAATCATTCCAATATACAAAAATTATCTATTAAATAAATTATTTTTCAGTTAATCCCATTTCCTATATGTGATATGATTGGAATTGTACCTCCTTTTCAATATGAAAAATTTATTTATCTCCTGAGAAGTTAATCAGAACAATTCTGATTAAGAGTCAAAAGGAGGTAGTACTACTAGAGAGTTCGTTTACCTTCAGATTAAGACCAAAGGTTTATTTCATCAAAATATTCTATGTCAACAAAATAATTTTCTGACTTTTAACTTTTCACATCTATATGGATATGTGGTGTATATGTATAAACATTAATTTCATTTAAAACATGAGTAGGTTCAACCTTTTCAATATTCTAAAACATGTTTATTCCACATTAGTTATCTATTCCTAGAAAAAAATTAAGACAAAGTGACTTCAAAGAATCTTGTATTTAGCAGATTTTCTACTAAAAAATTTTATTATTAGTTAGGAACTAATATATATATATATATCATTCCATAGTTCAAATCACTCAGAATTGTACATTTGCTACCACAATCAGTTTCCAAACATTCTTTTTCTACATGGACTCCTTGACATCGTCGCCCTTTCACCCCATCACCACTTCTATACCCCACCCCACCCCCCTAACCCTTATTCTATTTCCTATCTCTATAGGTTCATCAATCCTGGGTTTCATCTACTAAAAATCAAAAATACATATAACACAACTTCAAGAGGGTGACCTCCAATGACCTAATGCCTCTGAGATACACCCTAATATGTACAAACAAAAAAATACATAAAAATTTGGAAACAAGATCAGGCTGCGCCATAGGGGGGACCTGCTGACATAGTTTTAACTGTTCAAGTAAAATTCATGCCTTTGATCTTCTACATTCAACTCTCTAACCCACCATGTTTAGTAACCACTTTTCTATCACTCCATTGATATAGGTGGTTCACTGGAGGCTTATTTCCTCAGTCCTAATAAATTTGAAAAAACAAAACACAGATCCAGGAATAAGTTTTTGGCTTACACTACATCCTAGCTCCAACTTCAGAACAATTAGTTCTTACATCATGGCCCTGCTCACTACTCATCCTCAGGAAGGGAATACAGAGACGGGTGCTACAGAAAAATGCGGTGAATAAATTAGATGGTGCCCAGTTATTAGATAAAATAGTTTCTGAGATCTTAAAGATTTGTCTCCAAACTAGCAGCCATCTAAGTGAGATGTCAACTAAGTCCACTTGGAAGAAGCACACTGAAGAAGCACACCATCATCATTCACGCAGAAGGATTTTCAAGTATATAACCCAAAGTCAAATGAGGGATTAGGGTCAGAGTCTAATGTGTGAGAATCAGGTTTGCAGAAGGCTATGGATGACAGTGAGAGTCCAAGATCCATTTGCGGAACTACTTAGGAAATAAGACTTTCTACTTTTTCAGTCAACTGAAAATTAAAATCCCCTCCATAATTTATTTCACCGATAGTTTAATATATCAATTATCTTATAATTAAAAAAATGTTTTACCGCATCCTCTTCATTTTTATATTTTTTCTGAATTTTAATTTCTAATATTTGTGCATTTCATTGTTCTTTCCATTCAATACAGGTTTCAACTTTAATAATAATCTACCTTGCTTCTAATTCATTAAGACTCAAACCCATATACTGTTTTACTCCTTAGCTTGAAAATGACATTTCTCCAGTTCTTGAATTAATTTCTTCACTTTATTTGCATTATTTTGTTATAATAAAATATGCATACGTATTTATAACATATAACTATAGAAGTATGTAAGACAACTGACATATATAATTTCATTATTATTATTTCTCTAAATTTTATGGAGTCACATTTCTGATCATGTCTCTAAAAACAAAAGGTATTATGATATGAACAGCATTTAAAACCCTCAATGACAGGGTTTGGTTCTATTTCTGTTTATGTCAACTTTATTTTTAGTTCTATCAAAAGTTAATGTACCCTACATAATTTCTACTTTTGATGAGAAAACATACTGCCTTAATATTTAAAATGATAATTTTTCCTAAGTAGAAATAATTTTCTAAATAAAGCCTCAAAATGTAGAAAAATTAATGTGATTTGGAATTATTGTTAAGCTACAAGTCCTCTACTTCGCTCAGGAATGACCTATTTTTTCATACCTTTACGTCAATATCTAAAAAAATATCATTGTATTAAAGGCATTAAGAAATGTGAAGTATTCTCTTTAAACTACTACATTTTCAATACTAGACGAAAATTCTGACCTAGTTCACAGATAACGGCAATACACGCTCGAACCATTCTGTCTCTGTCTTGAAGTCCATCGTTTCCAACTGCTATTAACGAGTTGGCCACAGAGCTAGGAAATAAGGAAGCATTCACAGTAATCATCTGTAACAGGGAGAATCAGAAACAGAAGTTACTTACTTCATTACCTATTTTTTAAAAATGACTTGTTGAGATTGCGGTATTTAGACCACAGAATATTTATAAATTACAGACACCTATTTTCATCTGTGGTTTATATGGATATTTCAAAGGATGAATATCCTGTAAAATCTATGAAAGCCAAAATCTCTGTTAAGTCAGAGCAAGAAAGTTCAAATATTTTCGACTAGAAATCAGCAAGATTTCACTGTCATGAGAGTAACACTTGTGAGACTTAGAAAAACAAAATAAGTGTCTTCTGAATTCTGGCTCTCACAGATTTAACTGTAACTATTAATAAGATGAGGATGCATATATGACCTAGAATTTTAAGTATGAAATTTTATACTGTATGAATCTCAAATGTCTAGTAATATGTAACTAATTCATCATGTGTGCTATTTACGGGAAACAAAACTTAAATATTTACAAATCAAATCATTCTTGTATGTGCAAAGAAATTCTTAAATTCTGAGTCGTTCCCAGAAAGCTTTGTGATTAAGTAAGGAAAGGGTTATAAATGGAGTTACACTAAAACAGAAGTTTGAGCCACAAAACCCATTTTTTGCCACAAAAGATCACATATGTGAACCGAATCAAAGACCAGCATTAAGCAATAGGTAATAAATTTGTGGAATTCATAGAAAAGAGTTACAAAAGGACTGAGTTCTCTAAGTGGAATTTCTGAAATTTAAGCTGAGCATGCAAGAAGAATATAATATGCAAAGCAATGAAAACGAAAAGAATAAGGAGGAAGTAATAATTATTGCATTATAAGGCAGAAGAGACAAAAATAGCTAGATTGGCCTTAAGTGGACTCTGAATGCCAAACAAGGCAAGTTATACTTAATACCAAGAGGACTTGTGAAGAAATAAAGGAAAGGAAATCTGAAGAGCTGGAGTCTAGTTCTAGTTTTGCCACTATGTAGCTGTGTATATATGGAATCCAGTGATGTAGTGGGTTATGCACTGAACTGTTGCTAATCGGTCAAGTAGTTTTAATTTAGCAGGTGCTCCAGCAGGAGAAGGATGAAGCTGCATATTCAAGTAAAATGTAAAGCTTTGGAAGCCCAAAAGGGACAGTTCTACAGTGTCTTAAAGGTCCCAAAAATGAGGTGGGAACCAACTTTAGGGCAGTGAGTTTAGCTGGGTATAAAGAGCAAGTGGTAGTATCGAAAAAATTCCTTGCAATTTAAAAAATCCTGCTCCTACCCTTCCTTAATATGTGACTAAATAAATGATACATGAAGAATAAGGTGGCTTAAATAAATTAGATGGAAAGTAACTAAAATTTAGAATAAAGATTAGAGTAATAACAGTTTACAAGTGAGAAAATTACTACTAGGGAAATAAGAGGAAAACAACAACAGGACGGAAGGTAGCTAGAATGTACAAAAAGAATCAGGTGCAATACGGAGAAAATAATACTGAGTGATGTCAAACATATCTGATGGGTGAAAGAAAAGAAGAACAACATGAATATTCCATAATTATTCATAGGACTCCTAAAGTTACAAATTTTTGCTTTCCTTTTAGAAAAGATTAAAAATCTTTGAAAATATTTTGGATAAATGCATTAAAAAAGTGACCTAGCAATCAATATTTAACACATATTTATACTATTTTGGGTTGTGAACTATTTCTGGCAAAAAGAAATGCATCTTTTGGTTACTAAAAACATTCATTTTTTTGCTGCAAGAAGCCATTACTGATACATGAAAATTGTTCCACAATTCTTTGAACCACCCTAGCACATATCAAAATACCAAGAGCAAAAATAACTGTCCAGGCTCTGGGATTCATAAAGGGCATGGTATCTCTAATAGCTCTACACTTCAGGGGACAGCAGAATAACATTTTTGGTTATGGTGGTATTATACCATTTTCAGCATGCTGGGCCACTCACCAAAAAAGTCAGCAGTTGAAAACCACCAATACTGCACAGGAGAAAGGTGAGGTTTTCTACTCCCATAGAGAGTCACAGCCTCAGAAACCCACGAGGGCAGTTCTACTCTGTCCTACAGGGTCACTTAAGAGTTGGAATCGACAGTGAGTTTGTTTATTGTTTACTTTTACTGACAGTGTATAAGTGAACTTTTAATTTATGTGAAACATACAAGGTCCTCGAAAAAGCAGAAGGCTTTCAGGAAGGTAAGAGCGACAGTCGCTGCAACAGAGCTCAAACACAGTGACTGTGAGGACGGTGCAGGACCGGACAGCGCTCACTCTGTTGTGCACAGGGCGACTAGGCGCTGGAAATGACTCAACAGCACCTCACAAAACAATTTTTAAATTTAAAATATCTCATATATAATCCAAAAGAGCTGAATTTCATTCTAACTAAACACACTTAGAGAGCTGGTTTATCTTTTCAAATCAGTTTCTAGGATGGCAATTCAAAATTTGGGGCTCAGGAAATTCTGAAGACCGTACGATAATTTTCAGAATTCTAAAGTTATCATTATTTCTGCAAAAAGACAAAGAGATTGTCTTTTTTGTTTTTATTCCAGCAAAAGCATATAATGAACATTTCAAAAGGCTCAATTAAATGTGATATTGCTGAAGATTAAATGCAAAAGTGGTCTTTTATCAAGAGAGACATTAAAGAGATTTGTAAAAACTAAAACAATGCCATTCTGCACTAATTCTTCCCCAATTTTCTTTTAGAAAAGAGTCATGTTTATTAAAAGGCTATTTAGATTTTCTGTCATGGGTTTATTACTGATTGTTATTAATAAATGTTTATTTCGTACTTCAATTCCTAATGTGGTACTAATATGCCCCACATCAAAGTTCATTTTAAAATTTCAAACAATCTGTTAAACAAAAACTCAGCAGAATTTAAGAGTAGATAAAAGGAGTTCTGCGGCCAAAATGTTATTCTGGATTCTCCAAAAACAAATCACCTTATGTTGAATTCTCGTAACATGAATCCTTCAGAAGGAAGAATTATAAGAGGGAGTTGTAAAAAGCTCCTAGAGGGGAAACCATATTATCTTTTAATTATCTTCCCCATAAACTTTTGAAGTCCCCTCATATAAATAAGCAAAAAACTTAATTCTAATTTAAATTTTAACAGTAATGCATGGTCTCGATATAACAGTTTACTTCTAAGCAAACTCTCTTGTCCTCAATGTTACTCTGAACAAATTTGCAAACTTGTTTTAAGATCAATCTCATCCTTTTACTATTTCTGGCTTGCCTTGCTGGGGTATTATTTGTATCCACAAGCTAGACAATTGGAGAAAAAAGAGGGGGAGCTTGTTGATACACAAACTCAATAAGCCAACATGTTAGATTATGAATTCAATGAAAAGGTGGGAAAGGAAAAGAGTGAAAATTTTAACTGCTAACTAATTTTAGACATTTTACATAAAACACAAATACAGTGTATGATTCTCATGCATGTGCAGATGGAAACCTGATACTTATCTTTCAACTTTATCCTTGGTTGATTCTGTTCCTCTGTCATTAAGAGTATCCCAGTAAACAACCAAAAGGCTTTCTTTACTTGAAGGACTCTCATAAGAGGCATTATGGATTGTTCTCAACATCCCTTTGTCCAATTTAGACTGTGACCTTTTATCCTGTACAATGGCCTATATTGTTTATTGCTACTAGCACATGGATTATAACAAATTCATTTCAAAGTAACCAGTTTGTAACTATTTGGAACATCCATTTAATAGTTTTAACTCCATGAATAACAATTAAGAGGAAATCAGGGTTAGAAAAGTTACCTTGTTTCCCAAAACAAAACAATATTTACATATCAACTGAAAGGAAGATTCTTTACAGTGGCTATTTTATAAGAAATCTTCTCACTATACCCAACCATACATCATTAAATAAAACTCTGTACCTATCTCAATCTATTTAATTTACATGTGATTTTAACAAAATTAAAATGCTTAATGTATATTCAATCTTTTTTTATTGTTTTCACAAGACAGTGTAATCTAAAAACATCAAACACTTAACAGAAAACCTAGACATTTTTATTGGTCAAACATACAGCATACCTTTCTGACTAATCGAAGTGCTTGTGTTCTTTCTACCTCGTTGCTCTGCTGTATGTCAATACACCTATATAAATACACAAAATATTATTCATTAAAATCTTAGTGAAATTTTGTTGTATGCAAGTACTATTAAATTAGATCCACCTTCATTATTGTATGTTTTCAAAAAGTTTAATACATGTAGTTTTTCAAGATGCAGAAATATTTATTTGGTAACCAATCTAGCTCTAGTAATAAACACTTGTAGTAAAACAACAATTTCATTTTAAACTAGAAAAATACAATATAACAAACAATTTACAAGACTACTTTTATCGACACATAAATAATACAGAACAATGCACCAGAAGTTAAATCTACTGAAAAATACTACTCGCTTGTTTTTGCTGAAACTCACACGTTTATAAAAATGACGCACTCAAAATATTTCAAGCTTATGTCTTAGTTGAATTCTGATAGTAACCAGGCCTAAACATAATATTCTAAGGTAAAATTAGAAATCATGTGTAAACTACTTAACTCTATTTTATCTAAATATAATCCAAATCTGAATTTTCCTCAAAATTAATTTTCAATCAAATAATTCCACAGACATATCTTTGTAAAATTAATCAAATTATTAAATTTCCAAAGAGTTTTGGTCTATGCATGTGGCAGCATAATTCATTTATATTTATGTTTAAGCAGCTTGCTATTCTAAATCAACAACATATATTGTTTGCTACTTAAAAAGCATTTCTTCTATTTGAATACTACTAATCTCTGGAAATCTTATTAAAGTTTAATAGAAAAAGAAATTAATTTCTCTGTAAGAGAGGTAGGGACCAAACCATCCTGTCAAAAGTCACAGTGGTGAACAACGTTCAGATGAACTTCCTTGACTGACAATATTGTCAGTCACAGCTCAAGGTCCTAATAAGGTGACATGTCCTTGAGAACAACAGAAACGTGTGTGCAGCCTCCTAAACTTCACCTTTGGCTGTTTCCAAATTAGCCTTGGGCTGTAATGAATCTGTAATCCGGAGGCACACGCTTTCCAGAGATCTATGAATCATTGTGGTGACTAAGCAAATCTGAGTGGGTAGAGGGAGAACCCTTAAGTTATAAAAGTCAGAAATGAGGGTGACCCAGAGACCCCAGGGCTTGTGGACCGTGAACCCAAACTGTGAATTATATATACTATTTCAGAGAATACAAAATTAAGCAACACTTCCGTAGATGTTTAATAAAGAAAATATGCATCATAATTAGACAAGGATGTTATAAGACAGGAAGATGTCTCTCATGCACGTAGTTGTAAAAATATTAAGCAAAATATTAGCAAATCGAATTCTGTTTAATGTAGATATACATATGAACAAGGCATCATTTAACAAGTAATATTTATTCTAGGAATGTCAAGAAAAATTAAAAGGAGCAACTTTAATATATATGGAAAATATACTAAAAGTCCATAACAAGTAGCATATATAATGGTGAGTACTGAGCATTTTTCATTTGAGTTCAGAAACTTACAGGGAAAAAATTAATTACATTGCTACTATAAAAATACACTGAATTTGACAAATATGTGTAAAATCTTTACAAAGAAAACAATAAAATTATGTTGGAAAAAGCTAAATTCTTCAATAAATAAATACTTGAAAGATCCATTTATTAAGAAGTGAATTTGACCCAAATTCATCTAGAGCATGGGTTCCCAAACTTTTTTGTCCTTCTGTCCCCTTTTGAGAAACACAACAATTACCACTTCCCCCACCCCCAACTGCTAATCAAAACCTTTTGCATTATAGCCTATAATCCAGGATAAAATGTAGGTATCTGCTTTTGCAGACCCCCTGGATCATTCCACTACCCTACACCTACCATCCCAGGGCAGTATTGTGTACTTTGGGAAACACTGACCTAGAGCTTCAAATGCAATCCCCGCAAAATTCCCAGCAAATTTTATGAACATGGACAATTATCTATGAGAATGTATGGTCCAGAATAGCCTAGTTTCAAGTAGGAAAAGCTGGAGGACCTGAAGAAAGAGTTATCAAAACTTATTTAAGTTGCAATGATTAAACCTGTGAGAAACTGGCACAAAGACAAATAGACCAACTAAAGAGAAGAGAGAACCAGGATTCAGAAAGACAGTCATACATAACAATTACTCAATTCCCAACAAAGGTGACACTGCAACCTAAACATCAATGAAAAGTATTTTTAATACATAGTACTAAGATAATCTGACAGGAATTTCATACCCATTTTTAGAAGAAAACACAGCACAGCTTCCCAAATGACCAAAAGCACTAGCTAAAAACAAAAGACCGATATAATTGACTTCATTAATTAAGAATTTTTGTTCATCAAAGACCCATTGAAAGAGGAAAGGCAAGGCGGACTTGGAGAAGATATTTTCAATATATAAGCCGGAAAAAAATTTATACCCAGCACTTAAAGAACTCGTTTCTACCTATCATTAAAACAACAATTCAATTTACTAATGGACAAATGACAGAGTAGAGTGGTTATACAAATAGTTAGGCATATGAAATGTGATGTGATCTAAGTCATTACTCCTTAGGGAAATATAAATTCACACCTTAGTGAGAACTCACAATTAAAATCACATCAGAAAAGCTGTAGCTAAAAACTGAAAATGGCATGTGCTGATGAAAATGCAGAGTGCCTGGACCCCTCATACATTGCTGGTAGGAGAATAATCGGTGTATTACTTTGGGAAACTGGTAGTATCTACTAAGACTTCAAACACATAGACTTCATACCAAGCAGTTCGACACCTACACACACATGCACACAACAGGGGATTTCCAACAGTTTGGGGAACAATGGAACTAACAGATGACGTAATTTTTCCACAATTTTTTGAAGCTCCCATCTATGTGTGTGCATTTACGTATCTCCAGGAGAAATAACTGTGTATGTCCATCAACAGACTGGTACATTACGGCAGGCAGGTTTTCCAGAACAGCCAAATACTGAAAACTACCTGCCTAGTTATCAACAAAACAGTGCAGGCAGAGCAGTGATTAAGTGTAGAGCTGTGAATCAAAAGGCTGGTAGTGTGAACCCACCAGTCCTCCAATGGATAAAGATGTGGTAGTAGCTTCCGGAAAGATTACAAAGTAACCTATCTTAAGAGCAGTTCTAATCAGACTTCCCAGGTTGCTCCGAGTCGAATTATTCACCAGTTATTCAACAATTTCATCAACATCAACGAGTAAATAAGCTATGTACTATTGATAAAATAAAACACACAGTAAAAGAAAGAAACAGCCAATACAGATGCATCTCACTAATACAGAAAAAAAGAACACATACTATATAAAAGTATTTCCAACACATGATGCTCAAAAAGAACAGAAAAAAACTAGCCAGTCTACAATGAGAAAAGCCAGAGTGTTTACTTCTGCTTATCTTGTTTTCAATGGCAACATATGTGGAGGTATGTATATATATATATAAAGCCATCAATGTTTTAACCAAAAATCTGTATTCTTTGTTATATGATATAAACACTAAAACTCAATACAAAAAATATATATAAATAAATAATGTGGACATAATTAGAAAATTTACCTAGCTATTAAATAGTCCACTTTCAATTTTAGCACCTTCTGGAGAATATTGGAGTCGTGGATGAGATATCGAAGCGCTCGCAGCCCTGCCGCTCTCACTTCTTTAGCTTCATTCAATAGAGCTAACCGCAGACTACATGAAAACAAGCACAAGAGATATTTTGTTATCTGCATTTCAAACACAAGTGAAATTTTAAAGCTGCATTCTTTTCTTACCTGAAATATGTAAAACTTTTAGTCATTTATAGCTAAGTCTATAAAACTCCATGGAACCTTATACCTGATCCCTTCGACACCTCGTGAT